GTAGACTGTAGCCTGGTTCTTAAGTTTGGTGAGTGTACTGGCAATCTATAGTGGACTGTAGTAATGGTTATTAAGCTGGGTGAGTGCACTGGCAGTCTATAATGTAGACTGTAGCCTGGTTTTTAAGCTTGGTGAGCGTATTAGTATTCTGTAATGTAGACTGTAGCAATGGTTACGTTGTGGTTTTTTTATTTTTATCTTTATTTTATTTTTTATTACTGAAAGAACCAATAATTATTCTACATTATAGACTGCCAGTACGCTCACTCAGGTTAAGAACCAGGCTACAGTCTACATTATAGACTGTCAGAACGCTCACTCAGTTTAATAACCATTGCTATAGTCTACATTATAGACTGCCAATACGCTCACCAGCTTAAAAAACATTAATACAGTCTACATTATAGACTGCCAGTACACTCACCAAACTTAATAACCAGGCTACAGTATACATTATAGACTGCCAGTACACTCACTCCAATTAAGAACCAGGCTGCAGTCTACATTAATGTTTTTGTTTGTTATTATTTCATTTTTATTTGTATTCACTTTATTTTTATTATTATTTTCTACCTACGTGACTTTACCGAAAGAATTTGAATTCCTGCAGTCACGAAAGTTTTAAGTAAAAAAATTATCTTAGCCCTACGTGACCACATTTTGCTCGCCCTATCTGTAAGTCAGATCTGAACAAAGCCAATTATTGGATTATTCATTACGACGATTTTTTTGTATTTCTAAGCGTGAAGTCTGCACAGATGCCATCTTTATTATAACCACTTCACAATTCCTATATCTAATGTCAACCCCGAAGCAAATCACAGCCTATGTGCATATCCCTAGCTTTGAGCCTGCTTACACGCACTGCTGAAGTAATTACCGAACTGACATGCCGTCAGAGTGCGAGTGTCCAGTCTGTCACAGTCATTCGCAGTTGACGTGGAGACCCGTTCACGCAGCTGTCGCGTCACATTTCACTCTCTCTTTTTTACTCACCGTGGACCCCCACGCTGTCTCCCTTTTTGCAGGCTCATCTGCCCAACATCAAGGTGCACGCGTACTTTGCACCCAGCACCCCTCCGCAGGTGGTGCCCGGCCCTCGCTCCCGCCTGTGCCGCTGCTGCGTCATCCTCTGATCACCGCCGTTCTGCGGTCGGCGTTGTTGACGGCGCTCATACTATCGACACCTTGCCCCTCCCCCCCCCCACCACCGTGCGCTCTCCACGACCGGCTTAACTTATTTTGGGACAAAATTAAGAACTGAAAAAGGACAGTGGTCGTTATCTGGAACTATGCATCATTCTGCACAACTACTCTTGCCACCAACGCTTCATTGCCAGATGCTTTGCGAAGATAGGAGGGGGACCCCGACTTGGGAAAGTGTGCTCTCGTTTGTCATCAAACGTGGTTTGTCACAGAGGAGCCCTGTGTGCACGCAAGAGCGGTCTTTGACATTGGCCGTGCTGTGATGGTCTAAGTATTTGTGAACGATGTGGCATTGGTGTAGCACACTGTCGACTGACTGACATCATGGCTGGCTGAAGTGACCACCATTACAGAAGCAGGAGGAGAGGGAATGTGAAGGAAGCCTTTCTTTGCCACCCTGAAATAATTGATGCTACTTCGAGCAGCACAGCAGATGCCCTTACCCCTTTAAGCAACTTTACCCGCACAAAAAGCACCTCACACACACTCACAGCTGTCTGCCAACATCTTCGAAAATCACGGTCATAAACAGCTGCCGTGAAATGTGTAACTGTAATTATGCCGATTGAGAAATAGTTTTATTTTTGAAGGCTGTGGCTCATGACTCCGAGCTACACAATTGGTCCAAATGAATCACGCGGTGCCACACGCGTGTGTTTTAACCCTAAACATACTCGCTCAGATTATCAATAATGCATGTGCTCAAGCGCATGTCCCAGTAGGCACAGTGACATTAAGGTGTAGAGTTTAGTGTGGATGGATAATGTGGTTTTAGCTGTAAACATTGTAAAAGCAGCAGTGGTTTGTTGGTTTGTGTGTGTAAAATGTGTGTTTTTTTTACTTCGAACTTGGTTATCAGATGCTGCTAAGGCTTCAAGAAACCATCATTATACTTGGACTAGAAAAAAATATATACGGGACAATTATTTTATTTAATGTAGAAAATATTTTCTCTTGCATTTTTTTCTAAACATAAAATGTGTTTAGTTAGCCTTAAACGAGAAGTAAATAAACTTGAAATTTAGTGTTAATTGGGAGGAAAGGGCGAGTTTTATTCGGCACAACTTCTGTTGGCCCAGTAGCTATTGGGTGGTATTGATTATTCAATGTTCTGTCTAGAGCAGTTATCCTAATGTTCTTTTCAGGGCAGTCACTAATGCAATAGTGGTCTGCAATACTGGCGTGTAATTCTGGAGAGCATTTGGTAAGCCAATTTACTGATGCACGGTGTGGTGGAAGGGCTTACAATGCCCTTGACTTTCAGCTTGGTTGAAACCAATGCTTTGTGCAGTTGAAATTCAGCTGATGTTGGTGTGCAGGGTGCCACTTGCTGAAATAATGTGGCACGACTGATATAATGTGACACTTGCAATCCCCTGCCTGTTGAAATTCAGCACAATACGACCGTGTTACTGTCTTGGTACCTCATTCTGAATCAATGGCACCGTGTTCTGTGTACAAATATACATTATTTGAACATCAATGATAACATGTAAGCCAGGATAGAACTTAATTCAAAACAAACAAAAAGAACCATCAAGCATCATTCATATAGCCTGTTTGTTGGTACACTTTGCATTTTCTAGTTTTTATATAACACTTAAGATGCCGTGTGGACCATTTGGCTTCAGATTGAGGGCCCATATTGTGAGCAAAAAAAAAAAACCTTCCAACGCAAGCATTCACGATGGAATCCATTAAATGTTACAAACAGAAATGTAAAAAATATATATACAATCAAAAGTTAGCAAAGGACATTGTGAGACATTTGTCTTGAGAGCAGCACGGACTTGGGGGGAGGGGGACACTCGAACGTCAAGGCGCAGTGATCGTGATGGCCAGACACATTTTAATGTAAACCAACAACAGGCATCAGCAGTACTTGTCTATTTTACGAGTCAACGTGGGTAGATTAACTGTTTGGCTCATGAAACCTGCAGCTGACCGCCTAAAACATAAACCGACTGTGTGTAACAGCTGTATACATGTCCGAGCTATATCCATCTCCCATTTTCAACTTGGCCAGACAGTGCTCTAAACAGGCAACTGGATTGATACAAGATAGGGGGGGGGGGAAGCATTTGTGCCACAGGTTAACACGCAAGCATTAATACACATACCGTGGGCGACCACTTTGTTGCCATTGACTGCCGAATGTCAAGTCTAAATAGTGCATAAACGCTCCCCAAAACGAAGTACTTTATAATATGAGAAGGTGTGTTGTTACGTCTGTTCCTTTATGGTAGGGGGACAAAAGGAGGGAAGCATTGCAAGCCATAAAAAAACGCCGTTTATAAAATGTGAACAATGTGCAGAGCAGTAACATTTGCTACCGTCAACAACTTGAAAGGGTTTACTATCCAAGCGGACCTTTCTTTAAAGCGATTTCCCCCCCGCCCACCCCCTACCTGAAGCCACTTGATGAGAGCCCTTTACAGCCGCCACAGGCACGGCTGACAACATCGCTTTCACAGACATCATCCCAGCTGGACGCAAAACTATTATCGCCCTTAAAGCGGAGCGACCGAGATAGTGTGAAAGGTGAAGTAGCATCTCCAACAGGGATGACATGGACCTTTGTGCAAGGACTGATATGAGAACCCCCCCCACCGTCCAACTTTTCCTTTTTGGGACCCTGCCCATGTACCCCGGTGCAGTTGCACCACCTGCCGCTGATCTCCAAAACTACATGTGGTGGTTGGCTGGCTATGGAAGTCCCCAGTGTCCTTTGTGGGCCCTATGCCTTTTGTGTGTGGTAATCCAGTCATCGTCAAGTGTACTGGTGGATTGATGATGATGTGAGCAGGGAAATGTTAAATGCACTGGCTCTCCGTGTGGCCTGGGCTCAAGCCGCCCCCCCCCCCCCATGACGCATCTGCTGTCACATGTACTTCAATTCTGTATACATGTACTCATTTAATTAGATTTGATTACACTGGTAGCTGTATTTATGTTAATAGCTTTGCATTTTTTATTTTCTCTATTTTTTTTGGAAGTGCAAACATGTGAGTACATAATGCGTTGTACATGAATGAATGGAAAGTAAAGAAAAAGCTTTCGGAAATGCTGGAGGTATTTTTTTTTGGACTAACCGCATCAATTATCTTGGTTTCATGAATTGTCTAACCAGCGAGGAGGGGCTTGGCTTGAGAGGGGGGGGCTTAAAGGAAGAGTGGGCAGGGCTTCGTGGGGGAGTGGGCAGGGCTTTGTGGGGGTGGAGCTTCATGGTAGAGTGGGCAGGGCTTTGTGGGGGAGGGTCTTCATGGAGGAGTGAGCAGGGCTTCGTCGGGAAGGGGCGGGGCTTAGGGGAGGGGCTTCACGAGGCGGGGGGGGGGTGTATCCACCGTCAGAGCAGCCAATCAACAGCCAAGAGGGGCGGCCTCTTGCGTGGTCCAATCACAAGCATCTAATCCTGACCGGAAGCCGTTCATGACGTGACGTGTAAGCACTTTTATTTGTATGTGGAGTAATTGAGAAGATCAGATTGTCTTTCTCCTTTGTTATTTTTTTAAAGTAAATTTTTTTCTTTTTGATTTAAAGCTTTCGTGACTGCAGGGATTCATATTCTTGGTGACTTTACTGGCAGAACCAATAATATAAAAATGTCTCCTTTGTTAATTATATCGGTTCCAAAGCTCCTCTTGATTTATGAAACGCCTGGCTCGTAAAAGCAATCGGCCAATCACTGATCGGTATAGTTAAATTAGCCGCGCCTATTGATTGGCCAACCACGAGCCGGCTCAGTTCCATTAGCCAATCACCGGGAAGGGCGCGGGTGCCCCCTCCCCCACACTGGGCCCGATCAATCCCGGCGTGCACCGCGGCGGGGAAGCACGTGGAGTACAGTGTTCTTGTACAGTAGAGCCATGGCCACGCATAAGGAGGAGGCCTCCGTGGCTCAGGACGCGAATCTGGCGCTGGATCCCGACCGGCAGCGCGAGTTCTCGAGAAAAGTGAAGACAATGAAGCCCGCTCCCCCCACCACGGTTCGATCTCCCGCGCCGACGCTAACGGTCGCTCGCGAACCGCGCGTGTCAAGTTAGGGCCCTGAGACCTAGCCCGACTGGGCTGATCCTAAGGCCAGCCTTTAGAACAGTATATTCACAATGTATTTTCTTTGAGTAATGTTGCAAATGTATTGCTTGTCAAGGTTTAAACTTGCTCTCGCTGCCTGGCTTGTGAATGGTTAAACGTGCTGTTTTTTTGGTTACGTGTCTACTTCCGTTTGTTAATCCACTGCTGGATGAGGGCCTCCCCACGCCGTGGGCAAGATGAAACTTAATGCTGGTCTTGTGCGGGTTGGTGATTACGAGATTAATTGATGCTCTACAGTAGCGGAATTAGCTGCACTGCCCTCTGCTGACGACGTAGCCCTGAAAGCAACCAAATTTTTTTTTTATATTAACTTGCCCGTTAAACATCCCGCTACCCCGCACGTACATAAACATGCACGGTCATAGTTTGTTTATTCACTGCCGTCGCAAGCGGTAAGGTACTTAAATATGTTTCACGTCACCGATCTAGGCATAGCTGGCAGAAATTAATATCTCGCTGTGTCAAATGCTGAACTGTGCACTTTGAAATGTTTGGTGCGCAGGGCGCTATAGCCAAGCGCGGCGTGGTCTACCTGGGCCACATGCCACACGGGTTCGCCGAGATTCAAGTAAAGAAGTTCTTCAATCAGTTCGGCAAAGTGACGCGGATTCGCCTCTCCAGAAGCAAGCGGGTAATTGTCATTCATGCATTTACATCAATCCGATACTGGACGAATGCTCCACCACGCCATGTCGGTCACGGGGGTTGATTGACCATACTTGGTCATTGTAGCACGGGTTGGTTGAAGGAGGTACTCAGAACCGGTTCAGAATTCACTCACTACTGATTTTATCCGTGGCTTGGAATTCCAGCTAACCACTGCCACACTCATCCACCTGATTGCTATGCATTTATGCGTGAAAATTGACTTTTGGGCCCCCATGGAATACAAAGCTTATGATTTGATATTTCTGGCTTTTCAGAGTAGGCCAGTCGGCTTTTGTCAAGGAATTAGCCGGATTTAAGCATACATACAGCGCAGATAAGGCAAGAGAAAAGTGGAGAGAGACATGGCTCTATAAGATTACAAATTTAGCTGGTTTGCTGTGAGAGATGGATGGTTTCATCCCAAGCACGTGCGAGTTGCTCGTCTAGTTCTTATGGTCACTTCATACGGATTCTAGAAAATACGTGAATTTCTAATACCATAATGCCTAGTTTTTCTATACTGAAAAATACTTTCAATCCAGGGTCTGACAAGGTTTTAAGGGAACATGTGTGTGTATATATAATATTGATTATACATAACGCAATTAACGCAGTACAAATTGGGCTCAATAATGTACAGGTTGGTACTGTCCTATCCGCCTTAACACTGTCCCAGTGTAGCTCACGTCAATGATACTGTTTAGTCTCCAGCCAGGTTCTGATTTAATATAACGGAATTAAGCTTTTGTTGATTGCACCACTTACAGTATATATAACCTGTATGTGTGTGTCAAGAGCGCATCATAATTGCGTGGATGTCACAATGCTTTGTTATTTACATGTAGAAATGTATTGTTTTTTTCACCTTTTAGACTGGGCGGCCCAAGGGCTATGGCTACGTGGAGTTTGAATATGAAGAAGTGGCCAAAATTGTTGCAAACACTATGAACAACTACCTTTTCTACGAGCGCCTGCTGAAGTGTAAGATTGATGCTCCAAATGACTGTTCGTACTGTTGTATAACGCTTTCCATTTATTGTTTGAAAGTGTTAATTCATGTGCTGTATTTCGTCTGATTGTAACAAGAAAGGCACTGTAACTCATTAAGATGATCCAATGAGTGAATGTATAGTATAAGTTTGTGTTTCTATGAGGGACGTGCCCTTTTGAAAACTGACCAAATTGATCGAAGGGTTGATCAGAACTTTGATAGCCAAACCAGCCTGCCATTACCAAAAACAAACGTATGTTGGAAAGCGTAACTTAATACATTTGCATGATAGTTCCTAATTTGTTTTATAAAACTAGCAGTAACACGTGTGTACAAAAAAAAGTTAAGTGGTGTGACCTGACCTGGATGATGGACAAACAATGGAGTAATTTGTTGTGATTACACCTTGGACACCTGTTGACAGAAGGCCTAAATGCCATATTTTAGAATTTATACTGCCATTGATCGGACATTGTTCGATGATACGTCACCAAGTAGGTTAAGTGTAGTTTGGTGAAGGAGGGGGACCCGAAACCGATTCGACTATCACTTGCAACTGGTGTTATCCATGGTCGGGAATTGAGCTCAGATCATGAGTGAATCCGATAGCGAGAATCGCTGATGGGAGTGAAATGTGATTCTTACATCTGCATAAGGCACGCATGTTTAATATGTTTTTATCGGTCGCAAACAGTATAAGAACCGTCTTCCTCCTTCAGAGATGCATGCTCATTATTCCAAATGTACATTATATTTTACTACTGCGGTGTGAAAGAAGTTCAACATATGTTGCGCGGCATTGTTTAATGGAAACACCAATCCGCGTCCTGTTTCTGTATGTTGAACAGGCGAGTACATCCCTCCAGACAAAGTGCACGAAAAGCTCTTCGTGGGAGCCAACCGAAAGTTTAAAATGCCGACCTTCCCAGCCGTGAAACGCAACAACCGTCACCGTACACCGGAGCAGGCTGTCCGCATGACAAAGCGCCTTCTAAGCAAGGAGATGAAAAAACGCAAGAAGCTGGCCAGCTGTGGCATCGACTATGACTTCCCTGGATTTGTACGTATTTTACAATCATTTTAATGAAATTAATTTGAGTATTTATGGTCGCATTACTTGGGTCACGGTTGAACCGTGTTTGCATAAAAGTAAAAACTATATCTTGAAGCTCGCTGGGTTAATCTTCGCTCGTCCGAGGGTTAGTGACTCGGTGCCTGCGGAACTGGAAAGTGAACCAAATTATTTAAAAAACAGACTGTACATTCTATGTATGTCATTCAAATGTAATCAAATATTTGTATTGTCTAATTTACATGTTAATTATCTGTGTTCTATCCGGGTCACCCCTTCCACCATTTTCCTGGATCATTGAGAGTTGACTTACTTTTTAGGTTAATTTTTTTGTCATGTTAATATGACGTCGTTCATGTAATATAGTTAAACTACACCATATTCTGTTGTAGTCGTAAAGCTGGCCAATATAGACTACATTAGTGCTGTGTAGTTCAAATAAAATGTAATTTTATCCCGCATCAAGGCTTTTTTTATTCATGTCAAATATCGGGAATAAAAAGTTACGTGAAATAATATTGATAATGACATTTACGAGCAAGTTTTTAACTTGCACTTGTGGATCAAAACTACCAATCGATGTTCAGCAGTTATACCATGTGCCTTATATTTTATGTTTAAAGCATGAACCCTTTGCTCGTTTTCAGGCAGTGGATGCAAAAAAGATTCTAGGAAGTGCGGTGAGTAGATTTCGGTATTTAATATTTCTGTTTTTTAGTTAAATGCAGAAATTTATTTTTCACTAAGATTCAATGTGTAAATGTATTAGACCTTGTCTTTCTGTGTTAAAGGAGATTATAATTAATACAATGTTAGGGTAAAGTTGTCTTGCTATTGCAGACATGCGAAAAGAAAATTGGATAATTTGATCAAAGGGGTTGCCCAAAACGTGGTGGGAAACCCAGCACAAAAGGAATTAGTGGCTAAGCTAAAGACATCATATGGCATGCCTGGTGTGATGTCTTGGCACTCTGTGGCTCAGAATGTAACATTGCTAACAAATGCATCTCATTGTAAGCTTTTCCTGCCATATGACATAAGATTTTTAAAGTGGCTCCCACAGCAGATGTTCTGCTCTGGAAACTTGGAGCCAGACTTGTTTGCATGTGTGTGATTTTTCATATTTTTCTAAAACATGATTTTGTACTTAAAGGTGGGCAAGAAAACCAAAAAAAGGAAAGGAGAGACAAGTACGAAAACCATTGGGGAAATACCCGAGGCACCTGGGAATGAAACTGAAAACATTGAAGAATCCAAGGAGACGGAGGAAACTGAAAAAGTAATCTTTATATTCATATATTATTTAGTGTCCATTTACATAGTAACTTTTAAATTAATATATCAAATTGTTTGGTGATGCTGCGTTTGGCAATGTTGTACAAGTATAATAAAAAAACGCTAACACATGAATAATACCACCTTAAAAGGAAAAATCTAAAATATGATAGACCTGCATATGATAGCAATTGAAGGGTAATTGTCTGATACGTCCGTGTTATTGATGAATATTGTTGAGGTTTTAATTAGTTATTATATGACGTCTATTTTTCAAAATATTACATTCAATGAAATATTGTCTGTTTAGGCTTTGGAAACATCGAAGACGGTGGATCCTGCCGAGATCGATATGGATTGGCTGGCCGGCCACGACGATGACGAGATCACCTTCCGCTCTCCTCCCAAAAAAGTGGCTGTATCGCCTCCTTGCACCTCTGAGGAAGCCGCTCCAGCCCAAGAGGAACCCACAACTCCGTCACCGAGTCCACTCAAACCTAAAGCGATGCAAAGAAAGAAGACTCCGAATCGCAAGGGGAAGGGCAAGAAAGTAAATTAAAACTTTTTGCTGCTCAAGTGTGAATTGGGCAAATTTTATTTACAAAAAAAATCTGTCTTTGATGTAAGATAATTTCTTCTGCTTTCTCTCAGCTGCTCTTTGTGTACAAAAATCCCACGTGTGGGTGCGTAGTTCGTAGGTTTCAAGCCCCTTACATTTATTATTTGTACTTCTGTGACACGTATATGTAACCAGATCTCATCACACTATACAGAAACTGGACATATTTATTTTGTAGAGATTCGCACTGGCCGTGCATTTTGCATGTGATACCACACGAATCTGGCTGGAGCCTGTGGGATGTGGGTGATGTCATCAACGTGCAATTGTTTGCCCGTCCACCAGCCAGCAAAACTTTGATTATATAATATAAAAAAAAATTGTTCATAGGCCGAGTAAACAAAGAACGGCGTTGAGCTTGGACTGAAATAGTAACTTAGATTCTGTGGCCTGGCATGAACCATATTTTAATGAACTATACGTTTTTCTGGCTCGGAATTACTCTATCGGTTTCTTTTGGTATAACTTAACTGTGGTCTACATTCAATGGTATATCAATCAGATCTAAGTTTTGCAAGTGGAAAAGTGATGGAGTTATAGATTAAGCATATCAATACAAGCTGGAATAATGTGTCGTATACCCAGTGTAAATGAATTTGCGGAAATATAATTTTACTTTTTACTAAAGTATGCAGCAAGCGCATTGCAGACATTTCCTCCAGCTGTTAGGTGGAGCCATGAGCTCCCCATAGTTGTAACTCCGCACTCCCTCTCGTGTGTAGTCGTGTGTGTCACCGACATGTGCCAGGCACTAATTACACTGAATAATACCGAGTCGTGTCATGGATGAGTCACATGATGATACAGTAATTATAGAATGCATTTCCTTATTTTATATATAACTATGCTAATTTTTCAACCCACTTGTCCCATATTAAATCTCTTGCAACAATGTCACGTCAAGTAATACAGCTTATTTTCTGTCGGTATTTTGAATTCATGATGAATATTTCATAGATAATATACAATGATTAAAACGTTTTTTAGGCATGTCGGCATGTTACTGCTGTGTAGCTTTTTTGCAGTTGTGCTCTATAGCTCTGGACGTGTTGGGTTGTTACCGTGAGTTTGCACAAGTCAGACAACCTGAAAACAAGCTGAGAGCCACATTGGTCTGTTGATTTTCATTAAGTTCAGAACAAAAACTTAGTGCAAAGAAGCTTAGAGACGCACACGCTTGACATGCTGACAAGAATGGATAGATGCAAGACTACAAGTGTCAACTTATTGAGTTAAGAAAAGTGGGCTTTGGCAGAACACGTTGCTTGAAGGGATGAGGGCCGGTGGTCAAGACTAATAGTGGACTGGCAGCTGGAGTTGGAAACATGCCCCACAGGATGGCCGTCGTGGAGAAGGAGCTACGTGGAATTGCCTCGCGTGCGGATGCCTTCAGCCAGCAGTGAATTTACAAAGGGGTGAAAGTTATTTCATGATTAGTATATGGTCTCATAAGTGCAACATTGCATTTTTTTATTTTGTGCGTTTCATTATTTAATTGCTACTGCCACGTGCAGTACACACGGGGAACCAGGCCTCCAGTGATGGCTCCACTGAGCTGTAAGTAGGTAAGCAAAACTCTCTGCATGGATATATTCTAACGAAACGATCCAAATTGGATACAATGTAAGCATCAAATTGGTCCGACTGAGGAAGCATTTGCGTGCAATGGAGCACTGCATGCTTACTGTACACAGATGAAAAGCGCCAAAAAAACCCTCAAAAGATGATGCATTGCAAAGGGGAGGAGAGGCCAGCAGTGTGGGGCTGGAGTGGACAAGCACCAAACCCGGACCAATTATCCCTTTTACTGACCAAAACGCGCCAACCAGTCGGTAATCGGAGCCCTCATAACTGACCTTGGCCAACTAGCCAGCTAATCACCAATGCTTCCTTTACCACGTAAACCACCATGAACATATTCACCAACCTGCCAGTAGTACTCGCCCTCCCACTGACCGTAACTCTCACCAACCAACTACTACGTTACTTCCCATTAATCCTACACCTAAACTCCACTTCGCCAAAGGTCCTTCACTTTTTATTCGCTTGTCAGTTGTGATGTTTGCGGAGCCTTGACCATCTCCATGTAGGGATGTTACACCACTGGTTACACAGGTGACTACTGGCCACACCAAAAACATGTGGTTGATGTGCTGCAGTGTTCATTCAATATTTTCCATCCAATTAGAGAGGGCAACCTTTAATGTTACAGAATGGTCCATATAACTGGATATAAGTTGCAATTTTAAGATCCCTTCAAGTGACCTGACAGTAGGGGGTAGCACTTCACTACCCGCTCTGGCACAGAGTAATGTTCATTCAAACCGATGTTTTAAATTATCAAAGCTGGAAGTCATGCAATGTGATAGGGTTGTTTTTACATGCGATTATTGACTGACCACTTGAAACCCCTGTTTAGTTACAGGTGGTTCCTGCCTGCATTGAACCCAGGATCTAAGCGCTGTGCCACCCAGCCATTTGATGCGCTGCAGTCTTAAAATAAGTGCTAGTGGGTCATTGTATCAAGGTGAATATCTCTTTAGGATAAAATTCTGCCAATGAAAAACTATAACAATGCACTCGCTATAATATCAATACAAATGAATGTGTTGTTTTTTAAACGATGTACAGTATTTACATTTTAAACCTTGCAATGCAACTTGATAAAATGGTAAAATACTTGAACATTAATTGCCCCAAAAAATAGCATCGCTATTACTCCTGTACATAAAACATAAGAAATGTAGCCTCCATAATCGTCTTTATCCAGGAAAGACTCACCGAGTCTGAATACTCTGTCAAAAGGGTTCTGCATTGGGATGTTTGATCCTCTTCCAATATTGAGAAATTGGCATGTGGGAGGAAACCGGAGTACCCGAGAAAAACCGTACATACCAGTAGATGACATTCAAACGACCACACAGATTCAATAATCCATTGCTGCACTGTCATCTGGCCAGCTCACAGTTCAAGCCTCCAACACCTGGTATTTCCAGGCAGTCTCATATCCAAGTACTGACCAGGTTGAACGCAGCTTCGCTTCCCAGATCTGATGAGTCCGGGAAAGTTCATGGTGATTTTGTTGTAGACTGCAAACCCAACCCATTGTTTACCATGTCAACTATTAACAGGTAATTTTCATTTAAGGAGTTAATTTGTTATTTGATTCGTGTACATTTAAAGATGTTCTTAATTTTCAATACAGTTGCTAACCAAGAGTTAACTTTTTTGTGAGGACTTTTTTTTAGTTACTAGACCCTGGAGTATCCAAACGCATTAATTATCCAGAGAGAAATACACTTCGTGCTGCAGCAGTAGCTGAATTCTTGATGCGGTGCATAATGCGAATGCAGTCACCGCTCAACAATTGGAGGACTGTCAGGTCTTGTTGCTTTCTGCCTGCTCCACTTTGCCTAATCTAATTAGCTGCTTAAGCCAGACGTAGTTATGGTGGTCAGCGGCGCAGGTAAGCGTCTGTCTGGTGCAGATGGCTCGCCACCGCTTAAGGAATTGCCTTGGGTAAAGCCACCCACCCCCACCTCTGTTTGATCACCTCCCATCATGGTGCCTCCGCTTGACTTTTCTGCTTCCACAGTCCTGCACACTAGCCCCCAGAAGCAATCGAGCTGTCGCAGCTCAACCATTTGGACACAAAAAAGATTGAGGGGCATTAATCATAAACACTGCCTTGTAATATACACATATATAGTCGGTTGACGTTTGGACTAGGGCTCTTAGAGATGAGAGGGCAAGGTGATATATTGATTTATTATAGGTGGCGTTTTTACTTTGGTGTCCTGAGTTAACCAAGACATTTTAAGAGTAATGTTCACTATAAATAGACTTTTAAAAGTACTGAGAAAATCAAATACTGTACATATAAACAACTGACATTTTCTCAGCACACTGCCACCCCCCACATACATTCTATGGCTGGTAGCTATCTATCATAGAGCCTAACGCTCCATGTTGTGTACACGCACAGCCCTCTTGTCAATCAAACTGCTGGATGTGGGCCTCCCCACGCTGCGTGGGTCGTGGGAGTTATTTTGACAATTCTTCACCACGATGGTCATTTCAGATTGACGAAGGTGGGGAGCATACGTCAATAAACAATATCTTGGTCGGGACTGTGGGTCATTTCTAATGACCGCCTAGACCAAATGTAATTGCCTAATATGGTAATGTATACACATTGCTAAGCTAAAAAACGTCACTAAACATAAGTATCGGTCACTTCACGAAATGTCACATGCATTAAAGAACTGTTGGGCTGACAGATTAAGCAGAGATAATTGTGCTCTGAGAATCTGAAACCCCATAGCGCTGGTGGCCTGCAGGAGGCTGAGACCCCGCCACCCTGTTGATTATTGTAATGATCCAATTTTAAATATCAATTATGTATATTTGGATTGCAATGTCTGTCACCGGCATTGTGCACGTGGTGTTGATGATGACGATGATCGTAACAAAATAAAGACATTCTGGTTTACTCTCGCGTCTGGTGGTTCAAATATCCAGCGTGGGGAGTCCCATCATCGACCAGTGGATTGACAAAAAGGGCTGTACACGTACATAATGACATACGATGACGATTACGACTATAAAATAAATAAATAAAAATCCCATTTTATCTCGCATTTGCATCGTCTGCGCCACTAACCCCCACGCACAACTCCCTGCAAATGCATTTCCCCCCTAATCTCTTTTAATGCGCGCTGGCCGCATGCTTCAGCTTTCCTCGACATTTCGATTTAAAGCTTTCGTGACTGCAAGGATTCATCTTCTTTGGTTCTTTCGGTAAAATCACGTACACTTTACCGACTTTAACCGAAAGAATATTTCCTCGACATCATCAACGCCCGGGCCGCCCGTGTTGACCGGCATCTTTAGCACCGCATATCCAAGCATGAGTTTGCTGCTCATTGGCCGTACGAAGTCATCACCACCACCACCATCACCACCACCACCGCCGCCGCCGCTCACTGCAGTGGTCAAGCCGCGTGTGCGATGCCCCCCACCACCTCGCACTCTCACAGAAGAAAGCCGTGGGCAGCTGTCGGGGCACGCTCGGCGCACAGCAAGCCACGGGCTCAGGGATCCCCGTCGCTCACGCTTTGCCGAGGTCACGCACGTCTCTGTTGGGTCCTCAACGGCGACCTCACGCATCCATCGGTCATCGGTTTTTTTGTGTGTTTGGTGCCAGCCTCAACGTGCAAGGGGCCACGCGACTAATAAGCCACAGCCGTAGCGAGCGCGCGTGTGTGTGTGTGTGTATTTAATATATTCATGTTTAATATTTCCTTAATGTGGGTTGACGGGTGCGAAATATTTTTACAGGTCGCCGACCCGGTTTCTGAAATTGCGCTTTGACAGCATTGCTAACGTCTCCACGGTCAACGCACGTGTGGCCATCGAAAGCGACCGCTTTAATTGGCCTCTACGTCTGTTTATATCCGCTAAATAATAATAACAATCAGCATCAATCCACCGCTGGATGAAGGTTTCCCCCCCCCCACGCCGCGTCTGTCGTGCGGCTTGCTTTGAGACTTTAAACTCGGCCACCCTTGGGGTCACGAGTGGCGATTTCGGTGAAAGTGTGTTGCCGGTGGATCGCTCACCGTTACACCACCGCTCCCGTGTAGGTCACCACGGAGGTGGTTGTTTGGCGATGCTTCCCACCACCCCCCCCCCCCCCGGACCGTGGTTGGCGAGATTAGCTGGGGGAATTGGGGGGCCAGGCTGAGCCCCCCCCCCCCTAGGTATCAACTTTGACCACCGACGTTAGGCGCAGGCGGGAATTCAAATTCGGGGTCGCAATTCTGCGGTCAGTGGCGCGTCTCCACCGATATTCGTGGCATTTTTGGGAAATTGACTTAATTAAATAGTGATGTGGAGAATTATATTAATAGATGAATTTCCCTTGGATGCTAAATAATAAATCTGTAAAAGTGATGTGGGGTGGGGGGGATCCATATGGAATGTACTGACGGATTAGCAAATTTTCAGCTTTCATAAATATAATTTGGCAATTTCAAACTGTTGCATATTTGCTCAAATAAGTACTGTATGTGTATACACAAGCCTGCTGTTTGCATAATGCACCGCACGTCAATAAAACAACCAGGCATGGTATGTTTGAGTGTGTATGAATACATGCGGTATATATTAAATAATATACTGCATGTGCATTTTTTACTCGGCTGTGTATTTAGTGCACAGGTAAACACACAGGCAGTATACAAATGCATATACAGCACACTGCATTTGTATTTCCATGCCTTCTGTGCGGTTAAATATGAATGCAGGATATTTAAACGTGTCTACTACATGAGGTTATTCTGTGCATGCTGGATACTGCTCAAGTAACACACAGTGTGTGTTACTGCATATGTGCGTACTTACCTTCTGCGCTTGTATACACAAACACAGTATACATATAACATTATATACTGCATGTGTTTGATATGTGCATGCTGGATACTGCTCAAGTAACACACACAGACAGTATATAATTGCATATAAACTGCATGTAGTATACACAAGACATGCGTGCATATTCTGAGTACAAATATACATCGGTGGGTACATATCAATAAACGCAGCAAATATGAAATTACACACTGCCTGCGTGTTTACTTTAGCGGTACATGTATGCAGGAAATTGTTTAAGTGTTCATATACACAAGACATTGCTATTTTACATTACAGTGCTTCCAGTTGAAAAACAAAAATAAACATACATCGCACTATTCTTTCAGCACGCAAACGCAACATTCATTCGTCCTCTCGTTCGTGGTACAGCTGTATGTATCATTAGGGCTGCGAACTGACATTGTCCGTCTTGGGGTAGGTATATGGCTCGTTTTCAAATTCAACCCCCCCCCCCTCCACAAAAATGCTAATGTTTCTGCAATGGCATTGCAGTTGTTAATCTGCAACACAGGCACGAGGGCATTGATTCTTCTCCTCTCTCGTTTCCTTCCCCGCTTTTGGGGGCTTTGACAAGACGGGGAACGCGCTGGGAAAGAAGCAAAATATAGAACAAAAAAGATGTAAAAGAAATCCTCGTGTAATCGTCGAAATAGGAGAGAGCCTTGCGCGTATTGCTTGCGATGTGCGTGCTACGAATGTGACCTCATTGAGCCGCCCTGTGTCTCGCACGGGGGGGGGGGGGGGAGAAGAGAGAGAGAGAGAGGAAGAGAGTGGGGGAGAGAGGAGATGAGAGAGGGTAAGAGAGAGGAGGAGGAGGTGGGGAGAGTGTGCTCTTATTCTAGAAGGTTTGCGCCGTGCGGTTGTTTGTGTGCGGAGCGCGCCGTGCTGGCTTCGCCGTGCCAGTGCAGTGCCGGAGAGGAGGAAGCGAGGCGATGATGGAGCCAGTGGGATGATCCATCCATGGCATCCTCCACAACCCCCCCACGTCCTCTCTCCTCCTCCTCCTCCCAATGAGAGACTGAGAGAGAGAGAGAGAGCCTCTCCCGCATAAAGAGGCAATTGTGACCGGCGGCTTCTGTCCCAACAACGCTCTCGCTTGCTCCTGCTCTCGCTCTCTTGTGTGTGTGTGTGGGGGGTTTTGTAATAATAATATGGGGAAAAAATAGCTTGGCAGTTATTTATTTATTTAATCCGCTAACCCCCCCCCCGCCAACCCCCCCCCCCTACCGCCTCGACCATCTCTCGACGCAAGAAGAAGCGTCCAGCAGCATTCATCACACAATGGCTATCGGGCAAGGTGAGTGAGCGCGAGAGAGAGACATTTTGTGTGAATGTTGGTTTTAGGTTTTGTTGGGGGGGTTGAGGGGTTGCTGGTGGTGGTGGTTGATGGTGGTGATGGTGGTGGTGGCTCGCGTCTCTGGCCGTGGATGCGGAGTGATGCGGCGGCGGCGGCGGTGCTGAATTGTCAACGAGACGTCGGTGCTGCCCTCGCTCTGCGTCCCAATCTACCCGACGGGGCAGCGGGCAGGCAAGGCGGGCGGGCGGGCAGCCCCCGGCTCCGCGTCTCCCACCCACAACAACACCGCCCCCCCCTCCTCCTCTCCCACCTCCACACGCATGCTAAAATGTACAATACTCACGGACCGATTCCTCCGTTTCTGCAGCCTAAAATAAACATAGCGATATCGCGGTGGCGTTCACGTTCACGCAGCCAGTGGGGAAGAAATGACGCGGGTAATCTCTTTGCCGATCTCGGGAAGGTAATGTGAAGGTTGAAGATATTTTAGCGCACATGGACGATGGTTCCGTTAGGACTGACGCAGGCATACAAGAATACAATTGTGTGTTTCGTAAATCAAAGCTTGCCTTTTTGCCTGCTCCCCACAGCGTTTGTATTCCCAGTGCAGCAGCAGCAGCAGCGAAATGTTTTTTTGCAACGAGAACAGATTGCAGTACTGTACAGTGTATTTGAAGCGTATCATTCTCAGCGTTTGCAGTGGCGCACTCTTGGTAATGCGTGTCAACGGAGGTAAACCTGGCTTGCTTGCAAATCATTCTCATTAATTTTATTTTCTGTCGGTTAACGTGCACAGATCGAAGCGGAATTGCCATAACGAGCGTGACGTTTCCTCCCCATGCCCTGCCATCGCTAATTACAGTGTCCGTAATTGCGATGAGGATTTGAAATTCCTTTTGAAGATTTCATATTTTTCTGAGAATGTCCCCCTCTTGACATCTTTGCATCGCAGCCTCCCAGAGGTTGGAGCTCCCCATCCGCCTCCAGACTCTCTGATTGATGGCATTGAAGTGTGGCACGTAACGAGACAATCTTGTGCTGTGCTGTGGGTCAGGGATGAGTTTCGGATTTTTCGGGACAATTACGGATCTTTCTTCAGTTTTTTTCGGACCATTTTACTCGAGTGTGATAATTTAACAAGCAATTCGTGCTCACAAAAAGTCGACCAATGCCACGTAACACCACTTTGGCGGGAAACGCTGACCAGATGCCATGGAAGTAACCTCGCATCCTGTTATGTCATCTTTCCGGCTCAGTGAGAAACAAAACACTTTTTTGGATTATTCAAAAAATGCCATATCTTCGCCCGAGCTTTCGGACTAATCCACAAATGTAGAACACATTCCTGGTGTGGGCTCATGTGGCCTCCTTTCATCAAGAGGGAGTCACTTGGCTCACGAGGCTCTACCTGATGGCTGGCTCATCAATGTGCTCGTGTCAGCTGTCATGCATTCCCATTACAATTCCATGCTGAGCCAAGACTCTTCTCATAACACGCGTGTTCAGGAGCAAGGCAATGCCAGTAAGAAGGTGATAGGTTATGAACATTCAAATCTGTCCATTCAGGGAGTTTTTGGTGTTTTCATTTATATAGTAGGCTGACAGTTCAATCAAGGACCTTCAGAGGCAACAGAGCATTAACAGAAGCATACAATGAGTCGGATATTACAATTTACACCATGGGGCTTTGAGAAGAGCGGGCAATTTGAAATGTTTACATTTTAGAGATGAATGCAGTGATTGTTTTTAGAGTTGGGGTTCCACACCGCTGGCAACGCAGAACCATTAATTGCATTTATTTCTTTGCACATGGCAATGTATTGATGTGCCGAGTGTGGAAAGTATGGTGTCTATCTTCCGTCAGTGAAATATGAGAGGATATCGAATGCACCTGCAGATGATGCTTGATATCGAAAGAGACACATTGACGCTTCATTTCGTCTCATGGGAAGTGGTCTAAGCGTCTGCTGATGAACTTATGTTTGACCAAATGTAGTGGGGATTTTTTTCCCCCTTTTTTCAGTGCTGTTAATATCTTTGGCATTGAGCCTGTTTTTGAGTTGTTCCAGCAGCACTTGCCAAGTCGTACAGAAGAACTGCGTGGAATACTAATCGAATCGCCGAATGTGTGCCAGGTTACTGTACATTCGGCGGGAGTGCATGTGGCATATAACAGTTTGACAGGTCGTTACAAAAAAGTGATTTCCACTTATCTGTGTTAAAAGGTAAGGGCAGGAATGCCTTCGGATGATGAAATCCAATGCTGGGGAAGAACATTGGAAATTGTCATTGAAGCAGCAGTCATGTGGAAAGGAAAATAATAAGCCTGAGGAGTGGAGCGATTAGCACGCTGCCCAGTAAACTCGGCAACCTGAGTTCAATTCTTCACCACAGTTGACATCCGTAGCAAGTGGTATATGAACCAGACCCATGCATCCACTTCACGAATCCACAATGCCAGTGTGGTATGTGGAGACTTTCATCCAGCAGTAATATTACGAGGGCTCTAAGGGGGTGGATAATTGGGGGCACTGTGCTTTGAACCCAGCGACCTGAGTCTGATTCTCAGACTCGGCTACCATCGACGGCGACTGATATATATGAACCGGCCAGAGGCCACCGCTTCACAAACGTACAATGACAAATTTGAAGAAGTCGGTCAAACAACCCACGTCAAAGACCCGCTGTGGGTAGGCCTTCATCCAGCAGTCTTATTGCCTAAGAGAATAACTTATTATTAATTAGTATTTTAAAGAAACAACTTTTAACATAATTTCAGTTCGTGGAAGCCAGTGGGCTTAATATTCAAGTGAATCGACTGTAAAAAAAAAAACGTTTCTCATTGTAAGCCGCTTTTCCGCTACTTACAGGAGGTGACCTTTTTTTTGCCAAATGCCTGACATCTGGCTGCTGGAGTAAACACGCGGAAACTCTTGAGTGCATGTGTGTGCGCGTTCATGTATGTGCGCTTGTTTCAATGCGTGTGTGCATGTGCGTTTCTGCATCTTTGTGACCTTGATTTGCAAATTTGCGGAACCGTGTCCGGGCGCCGTCCAGTCTCAGGCGGTGGTCTTATGACCAGCCTCACGCCAGAGTGTATAAAAGATTGCCTTTCACAATCACACTTGCATTTGGGCTCTTTGTCAAGGTCCACCGAAAGCCGTACTACCGCAGACACTGTATTAACACGCGTTTAATAACGGAGATTAAACAAAGCAACAACATGCAATGATGGCAAATGCCAATGTGAATTACGTATGTTGAACTTATTTCACACCGCGTTAATCGGAGGTGCGGTGGAAGGACAACAAACTAAACACAAAAATGTTGTACAACTTAAACCTCGAAGTAAAAAATCATCCACTTCTTCTTAATGCAATAATTGTGACATGTCTACAGATAAGTTACACAGTTTATGGCCCAAGACAGATTTAAATTATCACTCGCCGCTGACGTTCGCTGTTGCCGGTAATCGAACCGAGGTCGTCAGATTCATGGTGCAATGCGTCAATAGCTAGCAGATAACTCCGATGGACAATTAGGCATGGGAAAGCCTTCATCCAGCAGTGGACTGACAAAGTGCTGTACGGTACACTTCATGGCACCATGCAGATGTCGTTACGTGCCGCAGTTTGACGCACGCAAACGTGAATGCCAGTCCCTGTTACAATGCAATCGGGTGAGATTCCTGCGATGCCAGTCTCAGCGTCTTCTTGTAAAAGGTGAAGGTGCAGCCCTTACAATGTGTTGATCATGCCACTCCTAGCAGAAGAGCCTCCACGAGAGAGAGAGAGTGCTCTAGACTGGCAGCTCTAGAGATGTCCTTGTCTAGAGGGTATGCTTGACCAACTCTTCCATGCTGGCCAAACGTCTTGGAAGAGGTGGGTATATCCACACTTTATCTCACCACACGCAACCTGTCGATCAACTAACTGCGGTGTTCCAATTTATACTGCTGGGTGGATGTAGGTGGGAGGGGAGGGACTTTAATAAACTTGTCCCATTGTTTCATCTGCCGCGCCGAAAGAGAGAACCGATGACCTCTGGATTGCAAGTCCATTGTGCCCACCATTACCACCGTGGTGTACTGTACTTGTATCTGCGTGTACGTATAGCCACGTGTACATGCAGCTGTGTATCCACGCAGTTGTGTGCTCATCTAGCCGTGTTGTACATGTATCTTACATGTGCTTGTGAGCTGCACGTCGAACATGTGTCTTGCGTGTATATACAGCCCACGTGTACGTACAGCTGTAACGTGGACATGTTAACTGTGCCCTTGGGGGTGGGGTGGGAGTGATATCCTGTGGTCACTCTGCCTGCCCACGCTTTGCTGTTGCTTAGCGTGGAGTGAGAAAGCCACGGGTTTCTACAGATGACCTCCCGCCTGCCTTGGCACGGCTGGGCCCGGCTGGTTTTAGCACGCTCTGGACCAATCTCTAGCCAGGAGCGGCAAAACATCGCATGGCCATTGCTTTGATATATCGCATGGTCGGGTAGTAAAAACCACAGTTCTGTGGGCAGCGAGAGGACAGCGGAGGTGAAAGTCTGCTGAGTGAACATATCTCGGAGGTACAGTAATCATCATGGACTGTTTTGTAATAACATTGTTAGAACATTGAAATGTTCAGTGCAATGGCTCATGCTAGAACGAGGCTGCAGCGTGAAGCCAGTTAAATATAATTAAAGCTAACGGTGCATGATAGATACGGACAAAATTCTGTTTCTGGACTCCATTAAAGGGACAGATGTCGGGGTGTATAGCAAGCGTGTTTGGTTTTTTTGGCAACATGGACAGACTGCAGAATTATTCATCGGTGATGCGGGAAGGCTTGAGCAGTCATGTTTGAGACGTAACTTCAAAGTGAAGGATAGATCTTGAGGACAGGCATGTTCTCAAGAGAGTTCACACCTCTCGGTCATTTGAAATGGACACTGCAATGCATGCGTCTATACATCAAGTTAGGGACGATCCGTGGCTCCTTTACAAATTAACTAGTGCCATGTTCACAACGGTGTTTTAAAGGAAAATTATAACATGCATATTGCTATACTCAGGAATTGTTATGTCGGTCTCTCTCTGTCTGTCTGAGGACACTTCACATGTTTTGAAGATAATCACAATAGCCCTAAACCAATTGCTATGAAACTTACCACACAGCCTAACAACGCCGTTGCCCAGAGCTTTTAAGAAATATGTGCAAGAAAATACTGTTAACAAAAGCATAAAAAACTACGTTATGTTGTGTACGAGTGTGATTAGCGCATATGTTAGGATGCCAGTGTGTGGGTGTGAGAATGTTATAAAATAAGTAAATTTCTATATACATTTGCATGTTTATGTTTTTGTGCGCACATTCCTTCTTACGTTGAATTCCCTAGAAAAATGTAGGCTCCCTAAATGGATTGGCTTGCCAGTCTGTTTTTAATTGCATATGCCCATTTTATTCCGTTTACTTACGTTATAGAAATGTGTAAAGTCCCATTTTAAGTGACTGTAAACATTTTAGAGGTGGCTAGTTGGATCAGAGGCTCGAGAGCGGTACTGGCATCTCTGAGATCCAGGTAGCCCCCTGTGATTAAACCAGGTTCTCACGTGTAGTGATATGATGGTCTCTGGCCAAATCACCAATGACTACACACAAAAAACTACGATATAAAATGTTCTTTGCTTAATTCTACAAAATAGCAGCTCAGATAATAAAACATTAGTTTTACTGTCAAGTGGTAAACATCACTCAGTGGCAGAGCAGGTGAAAAAATGCCCTTTGCTGTGTTGACCAGAGGTCGTTTGAGGGGATATCGGAAGTATTCCTGTAGTATATTCACTTCTGTGGCCCATTCTCTAACTGGAATAGTTGTGCTGCTTTCCCTGAAATCCAAATGGATACTCCATCTCATAACATGAAGCCGATAGCACATTCGTATGAAATTTGAAAATATCAAAACTAGATCAATACATTTCCTATTTATTTTACAATGTTTAGTTTATATCTATGTATGAAGAATAGTAGATTACTGTAACATTATAGCTCAAGGTTAACACATAGCAATACCATGAAAAAATAAAAAATATATATACATGCATATATTAATTGTTGCTAGTACTTGTATTTATGGCTCTGTCTTGTAAATAATACATAATTTCCTTACATATTTTATTTCACAGCACAGGCCTGAACTACATTCCATAGGAAATGTATTCTAATTTAACCTGAATTTTTACATGAAAAAGGCCTTTTGGGAAATAACACCTTTAATTCGGCCCAGAGTTTTGACCCTCGAGATACGAAATTGTCACCTGCTGAGAAATCAGTTTTGAATTTGATCTTTAAGTAGGTGTCTTCTTTCTCAGCTGAATCTGGTGTAATGAGGCTGCTCTAGCTCAATAACGGATCCTGCAAACTTTGCCTCTTCCTCCTTTAGTGCACAATCCATCATTTACCTATGTCTGGTTTTGTACCTTGATGATGCTAAAAAAAATTGCAACCAAGGCACCGTGGGAAAGCAATCACCGAATTCCACTGTACCGTTTTGAGAGGTGCGCCCAGCTAAATGTTCCACAGAGCGACATTTGTTTCCACTGCACTGTGAAGAAAAAATGATTGCATATACTGTAAACTAGGTTTTCTTTGTACAATGTAATGTTGAACATATTAGAAAAATGTATATGCACAAAATATGAATAATTTAATTACACACATTCATGAAAAATCTAAAACATTGGTCTATGACACAACAACCAGAGTTTTTGGGGAGGTGGGTAGTGAAGGTGGTGGGGTGTGGGGGGGGGTGCAGGAATGGTTCGAATATCACTGGCCACAGATGTTAGCTTTGGCTGGCCATCACACTCACGTTGCCAAGTATTGGGGCTACTTATTTACCGTATTATGAAAAAAATAAACAATTTCCAACCCCCCGCCCATTGATTGTGCCTCTGTCTTCTGATGGTGGATGCATTTGTCAGAGTCTGGGGTGGAGGAGGAAGATGACTCTGTGGATGGGATCCAGCCTGGCCCAGCCCAGGCCCAGGCTTTGTCTCAACAAGGCCAAGCCCAGGCTCAGGCTCAAGGCCAGGCCCAAGGCCAGGCACAGGCTCAAGTCCAAGCCCCGGGGCCTCTGCCACCCCCAAAACCACACTCCCGTGTGCCCACGGCCAAGAGAGCCCCCGGCCTGCCGGTGCTCCTCGCCCAGAGGCCGACGCCGCCACCCATCCCAGCCAAACCAGCCTCCCTAGGTAAGGTGCCGCACATGCGGATTCTGCCCCGTTTTCCTTCAGTCGTCAAAGTGCACGTTGACTACAATTAGGTTTAGTTAAAACGGTAGGTCAGGAAAAGAACATCACAAAGTTGGTAGATCTTCGAAAGTCATCAAAGCTCTAATTCTAAAATTTACCAAGTATTAAATGAAGTAACCCTCTCCAGGAATCTGAATTCCTATCTATCAAGAGATAATGTACAAAGTATTAAATATGGTAGATGGGTACAAGATCCTCAATGAATACGTGGAATCGCTCCTAAATCAGCATAATGTCCTCGTCCCAGAAAGTCAGGAAGCTTGCAATTAAGTCGCTTTGATAACATTTTGTCGTGAGCTAATCTGAAAAAGTCACTTAATCTAGTGACACAATTACTTAATTGGTAACACTAGAGGTGTAACATGGTGTGAAAAAACACGTGTCTATTTCCAGCAGCCGCATGTGGACCTGCAAGGGAAGGAGCTGGCAGTGTGGATCATGAGGACTTCATTCGTGGATTTGAAGATGTGCCCGTGGTGCAGGTGAGCCCCTTTGCCATTATTCTTTGGGAATGGCTATGAATAGCAGCCAGTAATACTGGTGGGAAACGAAGTGGACTGGAAGCCCAACCGGGATTAATTCACAGGAGGCAGGGGATTAATTGTGTATGTCTGTGAATGTCTGTCCACGTGTATTCTGACACCCGGATATATAACAAATGCGCTCCTAGTGAGCATTACTGGTAGGAAACGTAGTGGACTGGAAGCCCAACCGGGATTATCACAGGAGGCAGGGGATTAATTGTGTATGTCTGTGGATGTCTTTCCACGTGTATCCGGACACCCGGATATATAACAAATGCGCTCCTAGTGGGCATTACTGGTAGGAAACGTAGTGGACTTGTAGCCCAACCGGGATTATCACAGGAGGCAGGGGATTAATTGTGTATGTCTGTGGATGTCTGTCCACGTGTATCCCGACACCCGGATAAAATTGGAGGGGTGGGGCTGGGTGGAGAGGGCAGGGTGGCGAGGGGCTGGGGAGGGTGGGGAGGGGCTGGGTGGGGAGGGTGGGGAGGGGCTGAGTGGGGAGGATGGGGCTGGGTGGGGGGTGGGAGGGGTGGGGGGTGGGAGGGGAGGGGCTGGTCACCCCGTGGTGCCCTTATAAAACTCAACGTTTAACCTACTCACGCTGGCTTGTGCCCGCCCTCACAATCCGGCATATTTGCGGAATACACCACGTGGTGCCGCCGTTGACCCTGGCCATTAACTGAGCAACCCAACGTTCCTACCAGCTCCCTCCGCAGGAATGTGTTTCAGTCAGCCCCGCCCAATTTACAGAGCCTTACCCACTCAATAAACAAGCCCCTCCCCCACACACTGAACACTATCCCTGTTTCCCGATGTCGATTCTGCCCACCTAAAGTCTCCGCCAATCTCGCCCACTCCATAGGTAACCCTGGCCTTTGCCCACGTCATGAGTTGAGCATGAAGCAAAACGGTTTTTAAACCGGGATGTTTGGTACCTTTCATTTATGGCTTATTAACATTAAGAGTATCATTCATGTGTTAGGGTAGAGTAATGGTGCAATGGTTTGCACACTGGGCTAATGCGGAGGTGTGAGATGGATTGTGGCATGGTATGACCCCCAAGTGATGGCGATGACATGGCTGGCTTCATCCAGCAGTGGATAGAATATGGGTGATGATTGACTAGCATTAGTTATTTCGTTTTAAAGAGTACATTTTTCTTTTGAATGTATCCATTGCTATGGTGATGTTAAGCATCATCAACCGTGACATGCCAGTGTGGAAAAGCAGTGTAATCCTTGAGTGATAATCACAATGTATTTGTCTAGAGGCTTAGGGAGGATCTATTATAGCTCTGCAGTTTTTCAGTTATCATTTTATGTTGGCGGTAGTTCGGTGAGTGATAGCACTAATAGTAATAATAGGTCTAAATTATAGCGGGCGCAGAATTGTGCAGCGAGCCACTAACCCAGGTTAGATGCGCGGATACAAATCAGAGGCAACACGATTGAAGTGTTCAGCTTTAAAGACTAATATTAATTTAAAAATATTGATAATAGTAATAAACGGTACTAATTATTTTACAGATCTACTCAAGTCGTGATCTGGAAGACAGCCTCAACATAATCCGCGGCACCCTTTCAGACGACAAGCACGACTGGGAGAAACGCATCGCGGCAGTAAGCATGCACTGTGCGGCCATTCACAAACATGCACACGCATATTTCCCTGCTCTGCTCTTCCAGTAGTCATGTCACATGGACTAATGTAAAAACATGCAGTACAATCAGTTATCGATTATGCAGGGTAATGGAAGCAGGGGTGGCCCGGATGGAAAAAAACACAATGCAAAACGTGTAAATTAGGTTATAAAAACACAGTTGTCGTTTACCTATGAAGAATAGGGGGTGAAAACCTACAATGTGTCGTCTGTTTTTTTATGGATTCTTTAAGTACCGTAATACATTTGCTTTCCAACATGTTGTTGGCCAGGTGGGCACTGAGTCACAGACCCTCGAAGAGCAGAATGGCTCGTAATTAAGCCAGTGCACACGTGAACATGATCACAGTTGATCTGCAACCCAGATAATCTGCCCACAGATAAACGAGGGTTGGCTGTAGTGCATATGGCGAAGCCTGGGTAGGCCTGCATGCAACAGTGAATTATAAAATGGCTGTATATTATAACGTTTTTAGATTGTATTATATTTGAATATTTATCGACATATAATTTCAATAGAAAATATGTTTTATATCCATAATAGAGGTTTGTTTTGGTTAGATCGCGAAAATATAAATGTGTCATTAAACCCGCCACCATTCGACACAGCCAATTAGTAAGGTTTGTCAAGTAAACAAAACATGCCAATTAGTTACTAGTTCAACACACCGGTGTGTTGAACTAGTAAACCCACAACATTTACAATTCGAGGTTTCGCCGATAATTACAACCAGACTCAGGCGACAGCCATAATTGTGGATAAATCCTCCTGTTTTGGTCTTTTTTGGACAGTCATGTACCTGTAGGAGGCAACACAGTATACAGTAGAAGGTTATTGGCCTGCCTGTGGAGTCTGGAGTTTCTTATCGCGGTTTCTACAGTTTCTCCACCTGGCTTCAAGCTGCCTCATCAGTGGGCCTAGCTGAACAAGTTCCGGGCAGGGCAATGTCTCTGTCCAGCCAACCTCCACTATTGGGGTCTTCGTGACAATCCAGACTGCAGCTGTGGCACTGTACAATATCGCATGCGGTTGATGACTGTCCACTGACCAAGTTCTTTGGAGGTTTACGAGAACTACACATGGCCACCGAGGACGCTATTGCTTGACTTGGCGATTATGCACACACTAAATGAATGAATGCAGTTTGGTTGTTATCTTCTCACTCGCGAGGATTTTCTCCAGGCACTCCAATATCCACTCATGTGAGAACATTAGCCACACATACCATGCAGGTCCCTCCTGAAAAAGAGTCTTGAGACTGAGTGAGATTTTTGCTCGATCGTTTACAATTATTAATTGTTTGTCATGTCTGCTCACGATGCGGGATGCAAGACTATTGCATCTTGTGGTTGATTTGTGATCTACGCATTTCCTTGCTGTTGCTTCTTCACAGCTGAAGAAACTGCGATCCCTCGTGATTGCAGGGGCACCTGAATATGATTGCTTCTTTCAGCACCTGCGTCTGCTGGACAGCGCATTTAAGCTCTCTGCCAAAGACTTGAGGTCTCAGGTGGTGCGGGAGGCCTGCATCACGCTCGGGTAATAATTTGCCACCCCCTCACCTGTCCATGGCCTGCTCATTCACCCCGAGCAAACCACACGCTGCTCTCACACCCGTTAACTTACCGAATATCCATCCGCAGCGCTGTGCTTGAAAGAGCACTGCACTTACTTCATAGCGCATTCATGACATGTCATTTGCAGTTAATGGGTCACCCGGCTAGAGAGGCAGTTACCTCCCCGGTGGATCTAATATAATTGTTTTTTTACACATGAACTAAAAGCAAATTGCACGTGGCACAGTGCCAGAACACAGAGGATGTGGAAATTGACGGTGGCCTTGGAGTTTGTGCGCTATTGTTAAACTTCACCTGCCTCACCCCCCACTCCCCACCGCACCATCCCATCTCGCCTGTCCAGGCACCTGGCCACGGTGCTGAGGAACAAGTTTGACCATGCAGCCGAGGCCATAATTCCGACTTTGTTCAACCTGGTTCCCAACTGCGCCAGGGTTATTGCCACCTCTGGAGTGGCTGCTATTCGTCTCATCATTCGGGTGAGGCTGCGTGTCCTTTGCGTGTATGTATGCATGTGCATGTGTGTTATAACGTGAGGAGCAGTAGTCTAGTGGTGAGCGTACTGTGCTACAAACCCGGAGACCCGAGTGCGTTCCTGATCACAGCCAACATCTGTGACGAATAAATGAACTGGTTTTGGGCCTCCCCTAGGTGGACTCAGCCTTAAATGAGTACGGCTGCTGTCTACAAACATTAACATTGGGGAGACAAAAGCGGCTTGGCGGGGGTTCTGGCCATACCACTCCATCGTGCCTATGTAGGTGCTTGCTAAAAGCACTCACCTTAAAATCCTGCTTTCGGCTGCACGGCAGATCTTTGACTTGCATTATAATGTGTTGTTGGTTTTGTTTTGAGCGTTCTATCAATGGCACGTTACTAACTGTTTATTGTAATTGTTAATGCAAGTTCGGGAAATTCGTGTTTTGAAAGGCGCCATACAGATAAACAAGATGACGGCTTTGATTTGTCTGTACTGCAGGCTCATGTCACAAGTAAAATACATGATTACAATTAATGCAATTTATATTTGTATAGCTTTGCAATGCAACCACATCTTAAGATGCTGTAGAAAAAACACTGGGGCATGTGCATCACGGGGAAAGGAGGCGTATATAAAGACAAAGAGACAGTCAGTCACAGATAAGAGGAGGAATGCCTTGAGCCTGGACTTTAAGAGCAGGCAGTTGACAGGGATTGCACAGGGAATAACACTTACTGAATTAAAACTCCAACCTGTGAATGGCAGTGAAGATCTTAGTGGGCGCAGGAGGGCAGTAATGCACCGTGTAAGGATCTGTGCTTCTGAGAATTGGTGATAAAAGGTTTTATGAGAGTCTGTCAGTACTGCTGCAGCAAACCTGATTGATGACGGAGCTGATTAAGCTGATGCAGCAGCCAGCTGCAGATAACGCCACCTGTTTCTCCCCGACAGCACACGCACGTGCCTCGGCTTATCCCGCTCATTACTGGAAACTGCACCTCCAAGTCAGTTGCAGTCCGCAGGTAATCACGCGAGCAGTCAGTGAATTTATTTCTTGATTTTGAATCGCTGCCAATTAAATTATTAGATCAACAGAGAATATAAGCGCCTGTGCTAAACCATTATTGTGTTAATGGTAATAACATGGTAATTATATATTCTAAGTGTCATTGAAGTCATTGATTTAATTTAGTAATGATTGCATTGACTGTGGTGAGTAACTGGTATAGTGTGTAAACATCAGTATTGGGGAGACAAAGGCAGCCAAGTCTGGTGCAGGCCACAACCTCCCTGTGCGCCATGCTGGTCTTAAATATATTCTTACGAACAGTACTTGCCTGGATAGATTAGAAGACGAATCCTCGTGTTTGTGTTGCATGCAGGCGATGTTATGAGTTTCTAAACCTCCTGCTACATGAGTGGCAGTCGCACATCCTGGAGAGGTGAGGCAGTAGCGGAGATACAGCTCATCATTGAGCACCCAACTAATTTCCACACCACTGAGAGTGGAGTGTCACATCAGCTGTGCTTTGCTAGTATGCAGTCCACGAGCTGTGCAGACGAGCAGCTAAAAAATAAACTGTATTTGTGGCCTTTTTATTTCAGACCAGCTCACATTTTTTGTTTAAAAATTGGCCAACCAACAGGCAGCAGCGAAACACATTCGGTTCTTTTCATGCAGTTATTTTTTGTGTTGCTTGTTTGCGTAAGACTGACAGCTTTTGTACATGCAATGCACACCATTGTGTATCACGGATAAGAGGAGTTCTACTGTACGACAATAATGATATTTAATCTACACAACCACTGGCTACTGACTCAAGTACCGAGCCGACTGTTAATGTGCCACTGGTTGTTTAAGGATTTCACTCACTGTGAGTCTTCCTTCAGGCATGTTGCGGTTCTGGTGGAAACGATTAAGAAAGGCATCCCTGATGCAGATGCTGAAGCCAGAGTGGAAGCTAGGAGGTGAACACTTTCTCTTTTGTGTGTGTGTCCCCCCTCATCTTTCCTGTTGTGTGCGAGTACGGTCTGCCCAATGTGCCTTTGTGTTTTGGGAGTTTTGCGTGAGATTGCTTTTTTGTGTGTCTGAGTCGGTGTATTCCTTTTGAGGCTACTCGAAATCCACCTAGCCTGGCACAAGTGCTGTGGTGATGTAAAGGTCACTTCGTGGCGAATGGCGGCTGTTGTTGTTGGTGCCTGCATGCACAGAAATATATTTATTTGTACGTGCTGCACAGTTCTTTTGTCGGTCCACTGCTGGATGAAGACCTCACCACGTCTTTCGGGTTGTGTGGGTTATTTATCTATACTTCATTATTCTTTGGCCAGTGTAGGTTGGTGAAGGTGAATAGTATAGACGTGGAAGCATAGCAATACAGCACACAAATCTAAATTTCTGCACTGCCCACCACGTAGCTCTATAGCCATATGACACCCTCTATGTTCATGGTGGTCAGCCATATGAGCACTGCCTCGGCTCAAGCCTGCATAGCTTTTGTTATCTGATGAGGTCAGGCACATTTCAGGCAATTTTGTCATGGAAGTATTCCTCTCCTTGTCAGCAAATATATGCAAGAGAGTTGGATGTAGGCCAGAAGAGTAAAATTGCTGGCCTGTTGATTATTTGATGGTTTGTTTATTTTGTGCGAAGATGAAGTGTATGTTTAGGCCCCTTTTATTCCGTGGAGGGATGGCTTTTAACTGTTAATGTGATGGGCAGGTTGGCAGCTGAAAAAGTTATTTAGAATCTTTCAGACAGTGGCCATAAAAATTGTATACATGCTGGCATAGTGGAATTTTATACATATAATCTTAGCCCTTTATTTTTCGAACAAAGTGCCTTGGAAAATTAACATTTTAAAGGAACTGTACTGCAATGCATGTGTTCAGTGTGGCTGTATAGGCATTCGGGTTGGTGAATTTCCCTAGGATGGAAACATTGGCAATCTGCTGTCCCAGTGCAGTGCTCGGGCTTGTCATGTATCTTGTGTACACAATCATCATCCACCGTTGTCTATCCAATTTAGTATAAAGGCCTCCCCATGTCGTTTCCATTCCTCCCCATGTCGTTTCCATTCCTCATGGCCGAGTGCTGCTACCAAATATCTCGCTCCTGCATATGAATCAATCTCATCACTCCATCTCCACAGTGGTGGTCATCCTCTTAGACAATATATCTCCTTTGGCTTCCATTACATCACCAGTCTCGTCCATCGAACATCATCCCATTTAGCAATTTGTTCTGTCCAAGCTGATTTAATTTTCTTTAATTATAAATATGATGTCTCTGATTTGCATTGGTTCCACAGTCCAATCGTTTCTCTTTCCAAGCATGCATCTCTCCAACCTTTGTGCATTTTTCAGTTGTTGTGAATTTTTTATTGCTGTGTCTGTGTTCCCAATCGGTGTGTTATATGCACAATGTAGTGAATACATGCCTCGCTGAGTGGGAAAGAATTTAGAATTTAAAAATTACTAACGATTTTTTTGTTGTTAGAACTCTGCATGTCATTCATGTGCGTATACCCTAAAGGCATCTGATACACCTTCACGATAATTTTAGTGCAGCTGGCTACACTTTCAAATGTCTTCCTTTGATATTACGTGTAGTGCTCAATTCAAACTCCACAATGGGTTGGTTTGTGAGTACACTTTGGTCTTAAGTACTGTATTGTCTTCAGCACATGTTGCCAGCCCATTTCTTTAAAACCACATAGATGGCTTTTTTAAATGCAATTCTCTTTCAACCGTAATCACCTCACCTCATGCGAGACTTCCAGCTCGCCCGAGTGCCTCAGGACCAGTGAACGAGACTGTTGAGTTTGCGAGTGACCGCATATACAGTGAGGGAAAAAAAATATTTGATCCCCTGCTGATTTTGTACGTTTGTCCACTGACAAAGAAATGATCAGTCTATAATTTTAATGGTAGATTTATTTGAACAGTGAGAGACAGAATAACAACAAGAAAATCCAGAAAAACGCATGTCAAAAATGTTATAAATTGATTTGGATTTTAATGAGGGAAATAAGTATTTGACCCCCTCTCAATCAGAAAGATTTCTGGCTCCCAGGTGTTTTTTATACAGGTAACGAGCTGAGATTAGGAGCACACTCTTAAAGGGAGTGCTCCTAATCTCAGCTTGTTACCTGTATAAAAGACACCTGTCCACAGAAGCAATCAATCAGATTCCAAACTCTCCACCATGGCCAAGACCAAAGAGCTCCCCAATGATGTCAGGGACAAGATTGTAGACCTACACAAGGCTGGAATGGGCTACAAGACCATTGCCAAGCAGCTTGGTGAGAATGTGACAACAGTTCGTGCGATTATTCGCAAATGGAAGAAACACAAAAGAACTGTCAATCTCCCTCGGCCTGGGGCTCCGTGCAAGATCTCACCTCGTGGAGTTGCAATGATCATGAGAACGGTGAGGAATCAGCCCAGAACTACACGGGAGGATCTTGTGAATGATCTCAAGGCAGCTGGGACCATAGTCACCAAAAAAAGCAATTGGTAACACACTACGCTGTGAAGGACTGAAATCCTGCAGCGCCGGCAAGGTCTGCAAGGTCCCCCTGCTCAAGAAAGCACATATACATGCCCGTCTGAAGTTTGCCAATGAACATCTGAATGATTCAAAGGACAACTGGGTGAAAGTGTTGTGGTCAGATGAGACCAAAATGGAGCTCTTTGGCATCAACTCAACTCGTCGTGTTTGGAGGAGGAGGAGGAATGCTGCCTATGACCCCAAGAACACCATCCCCACCGTCAAACATGGAGGTGGAAACATTATGCTTTGGGGGTGTTTTTCTGCTAAGGGGACAGGACAACTTCACCGCATCAAAAGGACGATGGATGGGGCCATGTACCGTCAAATCTTGGGTGAGAATCTCTTCCCTCAGCCAGGGCATTGAAAATGGGTCATGGATGGGTATTCCAGCATGACAATGACCCAAAACACACGGCCAAGGCAACAAAGGAGTGGCTCAAGAAGAAGCACATTAAGGTCCTGGAGTGGCCTAGCCAGTCTCCAGACCTTAATCCCATAGAAAATCTGTGGAGGGAGCTGAAGGTTCGAGTTGCCAAACGTCAGGCTCGAAACCTTAATGACTTGGAGAAGATCTGCAAAGAGGAGTGGGACAAAATCCCTCCTGAGATGTGTGCAAACCTGGTGGCCTACTACAAGAAACGTATGACCTCTGTGATTGCCAACAAGGGTTTTGCCACCAAGTACTAAGTCATGTTTTGCAGAGGGGTCAAATACTTATTTCCCTGATTAAAATGCAAATCAATTTATAACATTTTTGACATGCTTTTTTCTGGATTTTGTTGTTATTCTGTCTCTCACTGTTCAAATAAACCTACCATTAAAATTATAGAATGATCATTTCTTTGTCAGTGGGCAAACGTACAAAATCAGCAGGGGATCAAATACTTTTTTCCCTCACTGTACTTTGCCCACATGAACCTTCACGTGCATGAACCTTTACTCGCGTGACCCTTCCAGAGCATGAACCTTCACCTGCGTGAATCATCACAGCTTGAACCTTCGCCCACAAGAACCGTCGCCCACATGAATAAATAAAAACTGCAGCAGGAACCTAATAAAAACAACTGATTATATTTACTGTTTTAGTCAAAGATCACTATGAGTGGATGAAAATCATCAAGCATGACGATTAATAGGACTTGCTGCCCACCAAAGATAAAAGCTTGACAGACTATGACGAGATAAAATTAATTAGTCTGAATAAAGATGTAGGCTAAGATAATTTCTTCCGTGGATGTGCACTCAGGAAGGTAATTGGCTATATATATACTGAATTCACTAATTGGATAGCATAATATATCAGGGAGTGGGATGGGGAGAAATTGGCGTGCCCACACACCAACTTTAAATACCTAAAAGTGGACAATATTGTTAACTGCTTTAGCTAACTAGCCTAGGAGAATGAATAAATGGAATCCACAGACCAAGCCTTGACTAAAATTCCAAAGGCTGTTGTCGACTAGACCTAAGACTGAATAAAATAACAAATTACGAGGCCCTGTGCACGTGTGTTCCTCTCCTCGCCTGGCTGCAGGGCCTACTGGGGACTGTACAGTCACTTTCCAGCGGAGGCCGAGGCCCTACACGCGACGCTGGCATTCAGCTACCAGAAGGCTCTCCTGAGCGAGCACGGCGGTGGGGCGAGCTCTCTCAACCGCTCCGACCACTCCACCTCATCATCGCAGGAGAGCCTCAAGTACGGCGTCCTTGCTGGACAGGACGCCCCTGTTTATGTTCTACATGGAGGTGCCTATCTTGTCACCGATTATCTCATTTATTTCCCGTTACAGCCGAGCGCCACCTGCCAAGAGCTCCGTGACTCCTAAAATCAAAGGTACTACTGCTTTCGCAATAACATTCTCATATTTGAGGTCCAGCGTGTAGCTTAAGCTTTAAACACACAAGATGTGTGGGTGGCTCATGGGCTAGAAGACTGGTATCATATTTTTTTATAATATTTCACCTAAAAAATATCCCTTGAGATGGAACGTCTCATTTTCAACACTTTCTAAAGTGTTGACTTATTTACAAACATTTAAAAGCTACCACCATGACCCTGAGTTTAAATCGGAGTTTCAGCCATCTGCGGTTAAACCAGATTCTTAAGTGGTACTGCGGTGATTGTCTCAGCCTGGCCACCAATAACTGCACAAAAAGAACACAATGTTAAACTAGTAACAGACACCTCCTTGGATTCGAACACATGATCTTTGCCGCACCAGCTCAGCACTCTGTCCTCGATGACCACTCGGCAAGCTCTGCCATTTATAAAAATGTTTTATCACGTTACAAAGTCTCCTGGTCATAGTCCTTTAATTGCAAAGGAGATCCAATCTTAAGTTTTTTCTCATGTCTTATATCGAGTCCTGCCTGTGTCAAGTACAGTACTGAATCCTGTCCATATTGCTTGTACCCCTCCCCCAGGAGTCGTGTCCCGGGCCTACTGCAGATCGACGCCGCTGCCTCCTCCTCTCCCCGTGACGCTGCAGCGCTCGCGCAGCGACGTGGACGTCAACGCGGCCGCTGGGGCCAAAAGCCGCGCAAGCGGCGGGAACACGACGAGGCTGACCGTGGCCGCGAGCCTCGCCCCGGGCTCCACCGCTTCGCTCGGTGGGACACACACCACGATCGCCCCGTGTCACCATTAAAATACTGCCGGGGGCAAGAGCTGTTGTTGAGTGCCTCTATTAAGGGCAAGCACGATGCATTCCTATGCAACTGAATGCAATGTGGTTGAGTGCGATACTCCGTGATGCCAACTCCTCAAAGCGTAAAGTCATCAAACGAACCTGAAATAGGTCACTAGATAGACCTTAAATTCGCCAAAAAACTCACTTGACAATTGACAAAATATTAACCATGGTAAATTATGTTTTAGCACGCTCTGTCACTTCTGCCACTGCAAAGGCCTCTTTGTACGTTTGTTTTTGCGTGTTTACTCGGCAACGCTGAGGTGTGTGTGTGTTCATGTGCGATCCGCCAAATCCATATGAACATCCTTTTCGGCCAAAAGTGGGGAAAAGGTTCCCTGCCCCTGACCTTCCTGGACACTGAGGACATGCAAAACTTCCGTTCGGCTTGTGCTCCGAACAAATGTAGTGTTGACAATAATCATTGACATTAAAGACTGAAGACTTGCAGACCTTTGTGGTAAACTGATTCCGTCTCGTTGTGTTTGTTCCTTTACCGGGCAGCGGACAACACGGAGGATGATCCTGGAGGTAAGCCGAGGCTGCTGTAATACTCGCCGTCTCTTGCTCATATTGATTTACCAGCCATGATCAATCCACTGCTGATTGAATACTTCTCCAAGCTATTGCCATTCCCTCACTGTTTTGCGATCTGCCTAGCATCTGTCCATTAGCCGATTTCACTGCTCTATCTCCGTGGTGGTGTTCGTCCTCTCAGATGATGTTTACTCAAAAAGCATACATTTGTAAAACATTTTTTTCATTGTTTCACGGTTGTTTCAGATTGTTAGCCACGAAAAGTATATTTTGCATTTGTTTGCACTGCACATGGGTAACTCCAATACAAGAACATACAGTACAACGTCGCACATCTGACTCTCGGAGAACTGAGGTTATAGGTGGGCATGTGAAAAGATCAGATGTGTGAACATCTGTAGAAAATTACACGTTACACCACCATGCACAATTTGGTTACCTCGTCAAAAATTAAGCGCAGACTACTTTAAACATAGTAAAATGCTCAACTGTGCTCTAGAAGGGACGGAACGTTCGCGAGACGAAGAACACATCACTCTATGTGAAAAGGGCACATTTGTGAAAATGCCATGAAAGTGGCGATTGCACCGTGAGCAAATACCGCACTAGTTGGTGGCGGTTAATTGGTCAGGGTGGACATGTGACGGTCAGCTTTGCAACGTTGTGCTGCGTTGTTATTATGAGAGAGGAGTCTGGCTTCAGAAGCTTCCTGCTCCGCCGCGTCTGTTTTTCTAGGTCACGCGCGCTCGCGTTACACGGCACCGGAGAGCTTCTTTGGAATCTCGAGTGGTGGAGGAGGAGGAGGCACGGTAGCCGCTTTAAGCGAAGTCAAAGACCGCAGCCGCTCCAAGGGATCGCAGTCCCAGCGTGAGTCCTAATATCCCAGCTAGTGGCGGCAGTAGGCATTAGCAAACAAATGAAATGCTGAGGGCCCCAAGGAACTCAAGGGGTGGCGGTGAGGGCAGATTCGTGGAAAAATGAGTGAAGCAAACATGAACTCGAATTCAAATCCTCATAAACTTGAAAAAAATAATTAACATGCAAATGTTATTGCCGTTATTTTGTATCTGACTCTCTTCTGTCACGTAAATCCATCGGTGTCTCGTGTCTTCATCTCTCGTGTCACGACAATACTTATCTGTTTCACCTTCATCGCTCTTCTCTCATCTCAATGTAACGCTATCGTTTGCCTACATTCCTATTGTCGGACTACTCTATCTCGTGTCTACGTGTTTTCTGTCATATGACTAGGAGTTTCTAGGTTGAAAGGGGGGAACCCCCAAAATAATTTATGGTTAGGGTCGCAAATCGACCACCAGTCAGTCTGGGTGTTTGATTTTCTGTGCAGCAGCATGGATCGCAATTCACATTATTACACTTGTGCACCTGTGCACACATATCTATTTTTAAATATTTTACAACAATCTTTCTGTAAGGGTATTAATGTGTGCAAAAGGTGTTTTCTAGGCAGCAAAATGCATGATTTGATCAGAGCATCGGATCTTCCATCGTGCCTTGCATATATAACATCACCATATTGTGTGTCTCAGGCAGACAGCCTTATTTTAGATCACCACTCAAAAGTCAAATGTGCAGCGATATTTTTTTGCTGTCAAGAAATCACCCTTTTTTGTGCATTTACACTTATCCAGCCTGCACGCACTTTTCTGCGTGATGAATTTTTCACAGAAAGTGTTACAATTGGTTTACAATCCTTCTGTGTTTGCAAACAATTCCGCGATTTCTTCGAAAGATACCGTTAACCCACGTGTACATGTTATTATTGCTATTTACTCGTGTGCGCACGTGTGTGCATGCGTGTGCTTGGTCGGTGCAACAGCTGGAAGCAGGTCTGGTTCCCCGGGGAAGACACTGAGCGTGGCGCCATCCTCCTACGGCTGCCTGAGTCTATCGCCATCGAGCGGCGCTCCCCTCGCCGTATCTCCCACGCAGTACAAGGCCAGCCGCGTGCCACGCAGCCAGGGCTGCAGCCGTGAGACGAGCCCCACTCGCCTCTCGCTCGGTGAGCACGTGGGCATGCCCGCACGCACGCACGAATGCACGCTCGCACGGATTTGCGCATGCAGCACGTGCGCAGGGAAATGCACTCACACGGATGCATGCATTCATGCATGCGCCGGCAAGCACTCGGATGAACGCGGGAACGCACATGCATGGATGCTATGTATTTAACAATTTCCATGCTAGTGATTCAATGAATTGTCATGATTCGTGAAAATGAATTATCCTGATAATTACATCAATGATCTGCTTTTTTTTATTTGGGGAGTATATTGTTGTTTTGGCTCTAGGAGCCACAGGAGTTGCCATAAACCAGTAATATACAACGTTTATACATGTTTATACAATTTGAAGCATGTATCGTGACCATAAGCATCGGTCGATTTTAATCGATGAAATGAATCATCATGTGCCTCATGGATGTATACTCGTAGGATGGGACCACAAACTCTGTCTTGCCATCGCTGTGAAATTTGAGTTTGTTACCTGTTTATATTCTTAGGTTTATTTTATTTTTTAAGTTGTGAATGGATTGAAATTTCATCATGAGAAATGACGTGGCATAACACACAAACAAATATTCCTATCTATTTATACATTTATTTAAATTTTATAGTCAAACTGAATTTTGTTGCTTGTGATGCAGTGGAAATCCCTGCTCCTTACTGTCATTGTTTTAAAATAATACTTTTAATTTTCTGACCCAGTCTCTTCAGTGCAACTCATAAATCCATGCGAAGGTGAAGCCTCATCACATGAGAAATGCCTTCCACTCCCACACTCAACTTGCTTCGGCCGATCCCACCACACACAGTAAATCAGCCACAGCCAGGCCTCATACAAATTGAAAGTGTAAATAGGCATCGTATTAAATATTTTGTATAAATCACAGTGTAGATGTGGTCTTCTTATGCAGACCATCATGACCATTAACTCAAAGGCTTTCTTTTATCATTGCATTAAAAAGCAAAGCAATTCATTTATAGCTTTAGAGCACTCACTAATTATTCACGCTGTATAATAAATGCATGCAACAGGATCGTTAATTCAACTTAAAATGTGTATTTACACATCTTCTGTAAATACAGACACTCAATCCGCTGTTGACCACAACATTGCCTCCCAGCAGCCAGTTTTCTTACTTTCAGCTGGCTTTCTCTGTGTCAGTGACCCATAAAATAATTCTGCATACTGCATCCAGTATACATATTGCTATGGGTGTGGCTCCCACTCCAGTCAACTAGAAATATTCAGTGACAAATGATGCCCTGCCCAGCACTAACCCTCTCGTCTCACCTCGCCTTCTCCATTCTCCTCCCCATTGGTGCACACGCCCATGCTAGCGCGGTGCGGCGGCGGCGGTGGTGGCGGTGGTGGTGGCGGCGGTAGCGGCAGTCGAATCCCGCGGCCGAGCGTGAGCCAGGGCTGCAGCCGGGACAGCAGCCGGGACACGAGCCCAGCCCGCGGCCTGCCCTCGCTCGGTGAGCCAACCCCATCCCGTGTCGCTGCCGAGCACCCCCACAGTGCCAGCCGCTCACGGTGACAGCTGCCATGTGAGGCATCGGGCTCCTGTTCTCTCGCTGTCTGTATGCCGAGTGGTGTCACTGTTGCATTGCCTGCACTCATATAACCACTGCAGACAAGTTCTATTGGAGCTGTCACTTGTTTTGAAAATCCTCGCACTGTGTGCGGCGCTGATCGTGCGGGTACTGACTTTCGCCATTGGTCAGAACATCTGTAGAGAACTGCAGGGTCACCAACTCCAAGTACAGGCGCATAAGGAAACCCATCAGTAACACTATCAATGTATGTATGTTGAACTTCTTTTGTACCATACGTTGCCAAACGTACTAATCGGAGGGATGTATAGTGAGCGGTTTTAGGATTAGTGGCAGCCGAGGATTGAGGACATTGTGAAGGTGAATAATCCCTGTAATCACAGGAATACCTTTCATGATGGCTGTGGCTACTAGCAACGTGTTAACTCCAGTCAAACTGCGAGCTGGAACATATCTAGCGAGAAGTTAATTTCTGCCAGTGACCAAGGTAGCCTCTACTTATAACTGACTGTCCCTCCCTATAAAATAACTATCTGCTGTTTATATGCAGCGTCTTGCGATGCGGTCACATTAAGACACCGCTATTAAAATCCTCATTGTATTGTAATAACAATATTTGACTTTACTTCCGCGGGTGAGAACATATTTTGTAATTGGCATATTGTGGTGGTTTTCAAATGAATGCTATAAAATTAGATGCTCTTATCAATCCAATGTTCACGCAAAGCCTTCAGATGTGGCAGATACTGGGAGTGTGTGCAGTGGCAGCATTCAGCTGCTTCTCGCTTGTTGACTGCTGCCCCCTAGTGGCCCTCTTACAGATAAACATTTCAGAAGTTAAAATCCAATCCAACCGGCCAAAGCTGATGTGCACATTCGGACAGAAAGGCTGTCGAGGTCTAGCCTGCCTGGCACGATATATGATGGGGAAATTTGTAAATGCAATTCAATACAGTTTGGATTATATAGCATCTAAGTAACGCTGCATCTCAAGACGCTGTACAAAGGCTGGGAGGGACATCTTGGGGTTGACTGAAAATGGACGGACAGTTAACAACCCCCCTCGTAACCCAGGGGAATTGGAGGGAAGGGGCGTTGGCCCGGATAAAACAAAACAAGGTTTTGTATTGTCACTGCTTAAAATGGGGGTGAAGAAGTAGAACATGTTATCAGTATCTAGTGCGTGCTCAAAGTTAGTCAGATGACTTGCCGACATGTTTGTGGGCATGTTGGCACTGAGTCACTGGCAATCAGTGAGTGAGGAGCAGCTAGTAACTAAACCAGCATGAGCAAAGCTACATATTGTTTTTGCCAGTACGAAAAATTGAAGACTTAAGGTGCAATTGAAGACACCTCATGGATAGGAGACAGTCATAGGCAGGGAACAGAGATAAATTTAGAAACTTGCCAGGCGTTGAGGCAGTCCTAAGATGGCAAAAGTTATAAGTAGAGACCTACATTCATATATTTAAAAATACCCCATTAAATATTTTGGCAAATATCGATAAAACACCGATTTTCAGGGTCTCAGGAGCTTGGGGGGTTATCGCCCCCCTTTGCTTGAATCCACCACTGGCAGGAGAGATGAGGAATGTCTTAGACTTCAAAAGAGGCAGGGACTTGGCACAGGAGGGAATTCCAGACTGGGGGGGGGGGGGCAGCAGCACTAGAATAACCTTCATTGTTAATCCAAGAGGGACATGGGTTACAAGGTCGAATACAAGAATAACAAAATGTTTACCAAATTGCATGACATTTTAAATGTGAATAAAAGAACGTAAACAGGTATCACAGATTTAAAAAAAAATAACAAGTTACCACAGGAAACAGGAAAAATATCACCAATTAAAGAAAAATAAAGCGCACAAAACAGTGAAGAACGCAACCTTCCGTTGAGCAGACACTGACTGGGAGTTTTTTTCTAGAAGGCATTGGGATGCTGGAGTGAAGTGTTGTAGAGTGAGACGAGCGGTCAGCAGGAGAAAGTCGACGGGGAATCTTTCAGGCGGTGAGTTGATTTTGAAATTGGTCTGGGATTTTATTGGGAATCAGTGGAGGGATAGGTGCATTGGGGTGATGTGGTCTCACCTAGGGGTACAGGTGAGATTTTTGGTCGGAACGTTTAGGATCATCTGGAAATTTGGACACGAGGGATTTAGGTACACCACAAAGAACAGAGGTGCAGTATTCGAGTTGTAATGTGATGAAGGCGTGCATTTGTAGCAGCTGAGGTAAGAATACGCCGGATGCGGGAGATGTTGCAGAGATGGAGGTATTAGGGCCTCGTGGGAAGGGAATACAAGCTGAGGATCAATGATACATTCTTTTTGCCAGTGTCATGTCAGAGTGCACACTCAAACTGGAGTCTTGAGTGTAAACCTTTTTTTGCCAATGACGAGTACTTCTCTTTGTGCAACATTTATCTGGAGGAAGTTAGAACCATTGGGAGGTGAGACTGCGTCTAGGCAGGATGTGAGACTGGGGCTCGGCGTTGGGGAGTAACGCGCTCGCTCGCTCGCTCTGCCTGCAGCCCCACGCCACCACTCCAAGTCGACGAGCGCGCTCGCCGCCGCTGAGACTTATCTCTGCGCAGGTGACGCCCACGCGGGGCGTGCGGCGCAGCCCTCCTGCCCGCACGAAGCCCCGCGGTCGCCTGCCCTGTGCCATTCCCTCCTTCCTCCCCCCCCCCACCACCGCATGCATTTATTCATTAATTAGTTTGTTGAATTATTCCCTTAATCGGTTCCTTTAAATTTAAACGCTGGGCCGAATATGAATCGGTGCTCCCTGAGATGTGTTGCAGAGCAAGCCACGATGCGTGTTTATCGTGGTTGCCACTGCCACCCTGCCCTGCATGGCGTGCCGGGGTGAATACCGAGCACACTGGGCCTCGTCAAGCATGGGACCTTCCCCATTATTTAGTGATTTCTTCATCGACCACACGCGGCGACACAGCTGTCGCAGCAGGAGCCAGATGCTTTTGCGCTGAGATCGGGCACGGAACGCTTGTCGCTGTCCTCCGCTTTCTCCCAAGCAATGCCTGCGCACGACAGGAGTGAAAACATGAGAAGTGCAAAACATTCACCCTATTGCGGTACGGAACATCAGGTGGCAGCAACAAAGCAATCCGGTCCACGCTGTTTAAACTTCACTCCAGGTGTGGTATGTGTCGGCAATGGCTCCGCACTAGAAATTGTTTACTCTGTAACGACAACAATGCTTGTTTTGGACATGTCTGTGGTGGAAAATCTACAAACCCCAGACCGGATAACTTTGTCTTTGCCACCTGCGACTTTCCTGGAGAGATGCCAGTGCTTCGCTATGTTCGCCGGCTGTGCTGATAAAACGTTGGTTTGTTCCCCGGCCCGCGTGTGTCTCTGACTGCAGAGCGGTTTGGCTTCGTGCCGCCCGCTAGGCTCCTGGGACTGGACGTGGAGGCCGCCGTCGCCAGTTCTCTCGTAAGATGCCTGCATCCTGTCTCCACTCCTGACGTTGCTCTCTCTGATATTACAGTTTTGTTGTTATGATAATTATTATTCCAACACTGTATTCTGTTTTGATTACATATGATTACATATTCTGTTCATTGGCCAAAATAAGACTGGCAGGGAATACCAAGTGTTGTAGCCTCGGACTGCGATGTAAACCAGGAGATGGAAGCACAACATCAGATGCTTGATTCTCCGTGTGGAGCTTTGAGTGTTTCTCCTTTGTGTGTGTGGGTTTTCCCCAAGTACTTTGGTTTCCTTCCACATGCCAGACACTCATAAACAGAAGCGGCCAAACATTACAATCCAGGAACCTTCAGAAAATAATGATTTCAGATTTTTTTCTCCCCCTGGATTCTTCCCCCTCGACCATCTCGTATGTATTTTCAAAATGTGTTTCTCATCCCCCGAGTTTGTGTTTAAAAGCAAATTGTAAAGTGGGTGTGTGCTCCTCCTCAATGATCTGCAGCTGACTGAACACCTGCAAAGCAACACAAACATCCAATTTAAGCCCGTTTAAATATTCAACAAGCGTTATCTCTTAAGTTGTTTTTTTTATGGTGGCTAGCAATTACAGGTTAAAAACAAATCTCCACTCGGTGAAAATATTAATTAGTGGGCATTTGCTATTCACGCAGGATGTGACCCCTGTAGCAGCCACTAGAGGCGCTACATTCAATACTACTGTGCGGTCAAAATTATTGAGTCAAATCGCAACCCATGAAATCGTGCCTTAACACCGCGAGAGGGGCGAGTTGTTACATGCTGACTGGATACCATGCAAGTGACCTCGAAGTAATTCATCGTGTGACCTCATGCATTCAAGGCAGGTGATTTTTCTAAAATATAGAAATGTATTTATTCTGTGGCACAATCATAAATGGATATGATGATGTGAACCCATAAATGCGACCACATCACCCCAATGCTCCAATCCCTCCCCTGGCTCCCAATCCAATCCCGAATCAATTTCATGAACGCACTCTTCATATTTAAGCTTCTCCATGGACTTGCCCCTTCCTACCTCTCTTCTCTCATCCGAAGACTCGTTCTGGTATCTTGAAACCTTTGTGATGGCGGTGACCATCATTATTGTTCATTATTTATACCTTGCCTCCCATGCAGTACCTCTTGAGGAGCCAGAACAGTAAGGTATTTTTTGCAGACCAAATACAACGTTAAAAAAACAATACAGTAGACACAATCTGCACGACAAACGGGAATAAACAACATTTTAAGAACTAAACTTCGCAGGGGACCACTGTTACCGAGTGACTTCTGTCACGCCGCCGCATCGTCCACAGGGCACGAGTTCGGACGATGAGGGGGACGGCGATCTGTCGAGCGCTGGCTCGGAGCCTTCGGGCTGCAGCTCGCGCGACATGCCCCCCTGCCAGCGTGCGCGCCCGCCCGAGAGCGTGGCGGCGCTGCTCAGCCACTGCTCCAGTGCCGACTGGGTGGAGCGCAAGGACGGGCTGCGTGGCCTGCGTGCGCTGCTCGCCTCGCGACGACCCCTCAGGTGACCCTCCTCACCCCCCCCCCCTCTTTCCGCCCAACACCCCCGTGCTCGCTTTCTGTCTCACAAAGTACTGTGTGTTAACTACCTCGCCTGGTATATAGGAGGTCGTGGTTTCGATCCCGACCGTGACACGTGCATATTTGGAGTTTACGGTGTCTCTCTCCCCGTGGTTGCGTGGATTTTTGTCCGGGTCCTCCGGTTTTTCCCTCCACATTTAGAAAACATTTAGAGAATTTGAGTGCTATAAATTTACACACGATGAGCCACTTCGTTATTATTTGTGGTCAGGTCGCTTCTCAAAAAGAGCTATATAACACGTAGGCTTTCGCGACCAATATTATTCATAATAAAGGTTTTTGGGTTAGATCGCGTTATTTATAAATGTGTCGTAACCCTCCACCACCCGACACGGCCAATCAGCAAAAAAAGTGTCACGTTGACAAAAGACAAATAATTCACTACTTTAGCCCACCGGTGTGTTGAAGAGTGAATCCACAACATTTACAGTTTGAGTACGACGTTTCGCTGGTAAATACATCCAGCATCATCGGGTAATTCGCCAGAATGGTAAAGCCCTCGCTTGCTCCCGGTTTTATATAGAGCAGCAGGGTGACGTCATCATGTAACTCATATCAGGTGCAGTGATTAGAGGCGGAGGGGGGGGGGTGTTGTAATTATATAATCGATTAGTAATCAGTCAATGGTTATGATTAGTAATGAGTTGTAGATTAGTAATTAGTTGTAATGTGTGTTAGTGATTATATCCTATGTTAGTAATCCGTTAATTAGTATGTGTTTCCCCTATAAGGAATTGTAATGTGCATTCATATTCTTAGCTCCCTCGGCAAAGCCACGCCGAAGGGAAACAACAAAACAACAAACATATATATTCTATTATTCTATTGCTTCCCCCCAACGCAGTAAATTATGTTCTTGGCTGTTTCGGTGGAGTCGCGTTGGGGTGAATTATTTGTCTTTTGTCAACGTGACACTTTTTTTTGCTGATTGGCCGTGTTGGGTGGTGGAGGGTTACGACACATTTATAAATAACGCGATCTAACCCAAAAACCTTTATTATGAATAAGAGCTATATAGCTCAGTGGGCCGTACCTGGTAAAATGAAAAGTTTAGTAAGTATAGCCACTGAAGAGGTTTCTCTTCCATTCCTAGAGGTTGTGTTTGGGGGAAGGTCCCACTGACAAGGTTGTAGTTGCTTTGTTATTCAACTTTAGTTACTGCACCTGGCTAACTTAATTGATGAGCGATATCACTACTGGTCCTTTACCAACCCACACTAGCCAACGTGGTGAAGTGTTGGTCAAGCTATGACCAATACAAAAAAGGGGTGAGGCCTTCTTCCAGCAATGGCTTGACAAAGGGTTGTATATCGTTTGCATATTTTTGTCCAGCTAAAAAGGTATCTTGCAATAAAGCTTCTGTCTGTTTGCATATCCAGGGGTTTATTTTGGCATGGGGATTTTTTGATGCATGGAGATTTTTTTATTTGAAACAATTTTAGATTTGTTTTTATTACAATGATTACAGGATGTGCAAAACTGACAAATTATTTTCTATACATGAACTCATTGCTTGTGCAAAGTTTCATTGATTCTTTGATTACAATTAATTCTCACAAATTGTGTATGGCAGAATTGAGTACAGTATTTAGTGTATATTTTGTAATGTTTTTACGTGATCCCTGAAGCAGCCATTTGAGGCGCTACATTTAACACATTGTTGAACAATATAGACTAAATAGAAATCAAATTGTGACCCCTGAATCGTGACAATCCATCGTGGCACACATTGCATTAAATTCATAATGCATTTCATGTTTTCCATGTGTGCAGCCAAGCAGAGCTTAGACGGCTGTGCGACACTTTCACCAGAATGTTTGCAGACCCACATGGCAAGGTGAGACCTCCGCAGGTTGCTGTCCTGTCTCCATGGTTTAGTGGAAGTTTTAGAAAGGAGAAGAAAGGTCAGGAAATATAAAGTAAATTATGGCTCAAATAATAAATCCCATCAAATAATAAAAATGAGGCTGCTGACCGGTCCATGCAAAATTTGGAGTTTTCTGCTTAACCAACCCCACTAATGAAGCAAGGTCAAATAACCCCTGTGACCCGCGTTGTGTAGGGAGACCCTTATTCATCAGTGGATTGACAAAGCGGCTATAGACACACAGAGTACAGAAAACGTGGATTTCCTCCCACTGCAAAAAAATATAATTTTGCAGGACATCCCACGCACATCTTCCAGAATAATTATGCAGAAGCTGGGTAGCACTTCCCTTAATAAATAAACGTCCCTTATTACATTTCTATAGTATGTGCAAAGGCTATATATGCGGATAAACCAGCAGCACATGGTCATGAATTTGATTAACTCTTACCTCATATTAACTTGCCATTGTGTGCATGTGTGTGTATATTTACGGGGAGCGGTAGTGCATACTGTGATACATTTTCTCTGACCTGGATTGAATTCATGACCAGTGCTGCCCCTATTTCGACTCAGCCTTAAATGCATACCTCATATAATGTTTGCAATGTGTAAACATAATCACTGGGAATACGAAGATGTGATGCTAGCCACACTCTGTGTATTGGTGCCATCCTTTACAATTGCTTGCTGATTGAACTCTCCCCCAACAGTCTGTAAAAAAAATTCTGCATAATTCGCGTACGTGTGTAAGTAAAGTAGGTGTGTACCTGTGGGGAGCGGTAGTATAGTGGAAAGCGCACCATGCTACGAACCTGGTGAACAGCATTCGATTTCCGCTCATAGCCAACATCATTGTCGAATATCTGAACCGGTCCTGGGCTTCTCTTAGGTCGACTCAGCCTTAAACGAGTATCTGGGGAGACAAAGGTGGCCGGATATGGTACTGGCCACACCATCCCGCCGTGTGCTGTGTCGGCCTTCCTATTTGCTCACCGACAGGACTTGCCCAAACACCCTGTGTAGGCCACACAGGGGGGATATTTGTCTTTACATGCGTATCTGTTTGCGTGTGTGCGTGCGTGTGCCGGGCGGCGCAGGTGTTCTGCGTGTTTCTGGACACGCTGGTGGACTTCGTGGCGCAGTGCCACAGCGAGTTGCACCACTGGCTTTACGTACTGCTCACACAGCTGCTGTCACGTGCGTGTGCCAGCCTCCTGGGCTCCGTGCAGGCCAAAGTGCAACGAGGTCTTGACATCACCAGGTGCAGCATGAATTCACCGATGGCGAAATTGTCCCGTTTTTCACCTGGATGATTGTGTAAAATTATTATTTTTGTAACACATTCTTCAATAATACTGCGGCACAAAAAAAATATAACTCAATAAAACAGGCGACGTGTCAGGCAATTCCCCATACAAGATGTCTATTTTGTGTTTTGTTATTTGTGCTGATGCGCTTTTGCCAATGCAGTATGACATAAAAAGATCCATGTTTCATTAAATAAATTGTCCTCTTTTATTGATACTAAGATAAAGCTCCCTTCTCGTTAACTCCTGTATTGTATTGCTGGCGAGTAATGAAATAACAATACTCGGTTGCATTCCAGAGGTCGCCAGTTCGATTTGCCAGCATGGGCAGTTAAAACAATGGAGCAGGTGTTTATAGACCCCCTGCACAGCTGTCCACCCAGCAGTATAAATGGGGGACATCACTGTTAATCGATTGGCATGTCTTGTCTGGAAGGGTAAAGTGTGGATTCCCCCACCTCTCCAAAGACGTCTGGTCAGCGTGGATCAGTTGGCCCTATACCCTCCACGCGAGCTCTCCAGAGCTTCCATTTGTGGAGGCCCTTTCGCCAACTGTGGCATGAGCAAGAAACTGCAGGGGCAGCATCATCACCTTTTCACCCGTTTACTGTTTTACGTTGCAGAGATTGCTTTCCGTTCGACCAGCAATTCAACATCATCATGAAGTGCATCGTGGATCAGAGCCAAACAGCCAAGGTGAGTAAAAATGTGGAATGTGAAATTCTGTGTGTGAATGTACCAACAATGTTCTCATCTATTTTAAAATAAAAAGTACACTACAATGGGATGTTCTTATGAAGGTAAAATATTCGATAACCCTTGGGATAGTAAAAAAAATACATAGTAAGAGATAGAGCTCAAATAAGTCAGCACTGCTCAATTCGTGGAAAGGAATTCAGGATTTGGCTACTGTGGTTAAACTGGAATTTCAAGTATAGTGAATTGATGGCTTATGTCTGGTCAGCAATGAAGAAAAATATATATTGTGATGCTACATATGTTTTTTCTCTGAATTCAGTGTATTCCAACTCTGAAAATGATAAATGTCACTTTGATAACCATGCAGTGAGCATTCTTTACTTTGTAAATGTATTTATCATCTGACTCCAGATCTATTTATTTTCTGTCATCTTCTGGGGCCGTTTTTTGACACAAGCCTAAATTACTGCTTGCTGCAAATTCATGATGTGGCACTGGTGGTACAATTAGAATTAAATTGGCATTGAAATGTTAAAACAAAAAGTTAACAAAGTTACTGTCCTTGTGGGTGTGTAATCACTGACACACCATGTTTGGCATGGGCCCCGGTGCACGAAATTAAATGAGGTCCCTACAGTCCAATATCCTCCGTGTTTGTAGCCAGCACCTGGGCCTCTTCAACCTGTGGCCTACGGTGCAGCTGCACCACCTGTATGCTCTATAGCTACACCACTGCGTCTCGTAGTCGTCTTATTGACCCCAGTGAAACCCTGTCTCCCTGGAGATGCTAAATGTGGACTCATTACTCCAGGGCTGTGTGGCATTTCCTGTTTGTGCGCTGCAGATGAAGTTGGCGACGATGCGGTACCTGGAAGGGCTTGCGCGGCGCATGGACTCGGAGCACTTTGCCAACTCGAGTGAGACGCGGCACGCCGTGTCCCGCGTCATCACCTGGTCAACGGAGGCCAAGAGCTCGAGCGAAACACGGAAGGTTAGTGCTGGATTCAGGCCCCCCTGTCCCAGGAGTGTAGCGTGGTTGGCATCGGCCTTGATGCAAATGATAAATGCACCCCTCACTGTCTAATATACACCCCCACTCTTTGTAGGCCAGTGGGCCCCGGTGCAGTTGCACTGCCTGCACGCTTAATAGCTATGCCACTACGCAATTATACCCTGACCCCACTTGACCTTGTCACCAATTATTAAAAAAAAGTCTTCACAAAGATGATACTATGGACCTGTCAAGGAATTTTTTTTTTTTTCGTACAACAGTTGCTTTATCTATGTGGATCATATCGTGGTTCCCTTATTTCCTTCCTCTCCAAATAAGCGAAAACCTAAATGAGTCTTGAGATTTAGTGAGGCTAAAGGATCTGTTTTTGATTTATTGGAGCATCCCAATTGCTGAGCGATATCTGAACAGCCCATTTCTCAATCGCCTTATAGTTGAGGGCGTTCCCACTCTGTGGAGGTCGTGGCAGTTACTTAACCATACTTCACCTTACTGATCAGACTGGATGGTGAGGGAGGGAAGCGTGGATATTTTGGGCAGCACTGCCCTCTGCTGCCCACAATGTAGCACCGCAGCCCTATGACAACCTCAACGTGGTTAACACAAAACACTCAACACATTCATCGATCACAGTGGCCTTAAAAAGGAAAATATAAAATAGGCGATTATTTGCGCAATGGCCCTTCTTCATAGCACATAAATGTTTATCTTTGTACATGGTTGTCACCCATCCAAGCACATTCCAAGCTCAACCATGTTTGGCACATTCCAGGTGATTTGGTCATGTCTGTTATGGGGACCGCCTGCTCTTACATAAGCTGTGATATATCACCAGAGGGCGTACAATTGCAACTTAATCGGCCGGGCCAAAGCCATGCACTTGGGAGTTAATGGTTAACCTATTTTGCCAACAATGGAGTTTCTATAGAATTCACAAGAGGCTTCATGCTGGCAAAGCAAATAGAGCTTGCTGATAATCTTTATGAGTTTTAAACTAATTTTCTGTTATCTTTGGCTTAAAAACAGCGTTAATTTCTAAGACTTGTATTTTTTATTATCACTAGGACAGAGTGACCTCAGTTGTTTAATCTATATTTAAGCAGGCTTTGATGCTTACAGGCTAGAGCATGCAGTGGAGTGTTGGTTCACCAGCTTACCAGGTTCAAAAGGGTCCTTGAAATTAACAAATAATTGCAGCCAGCTACAAAGGCAACAAGGCCAATATGACTGCGATCATTGTTGTTTAATGCAAATCCGTGCTGAGTTTGTGTTAAAATGCAGTTTCAGTTTTCAGTTTCATTTATTTGGTATAGCCCTGTCATTAAGATGAGCAGTCAAGGGTGGCGAGAAAGCTCAGAGAAAATCATCGTCGAGACTGCATTGCGTTTACATCCGCAATTTCGCAGTCTGCGTGAGCTCCACGCCGACTGCTCTACAGAGGGTCTGGCTGATTTGCCCTCTCACTCCGTGAAAAAGTGTAAAACCCCTACACTTGAGAACCCAGTTTAATTAATGGTGGCTGCCCAGATTGCATACCAACATCTCTAAGGGGGGCCACCTCAGTGCTCTCTGACCTCTGAGACACCCAGCCATCGCTTATACTGGCATTATTAGGGACCGCACATAGACGTCTTGCCTATCTGTTATGTATCCTGACAAAATATACATTTTGTAGACAGAGTGGCATTCGGTGTACATAACACTACATTTATTATTTAGTTATTTAATTAACCATGCACGCACAAGTTAATAAAAAAAAGTTGCTTTAATTGCTGGACGACGTTTAATCATCTCTTGCATTTTTGACCATAACCATCGTCACTAATAAATAACCAGATCCTCACCATCATTGTGATCACTCGTAACAGCAGTACAAAGTCGCACAGTTTGAACATTCCAACAAATTCTTTTTAAAGCCTTTAATACATTTTTATTGCATGTTCCACACTGCAAGAACTTACTACCAAGCCTATTTTACCCCTGTCAGGGTGGCATTAACACATTTTGTGTCGGAACACACGTAAAAACGTGAGGCTATCGCAACTTAATTTAAGACTGTTTAGCGAGAGTGCCCATAGTGGGCTGTAAAGATTACGGTGCCGTTTATGGGCTGCCGAGATTGTTGGCGCGTAAACCCGAGTCCCCTTCACCGTGACCTCTCCCTTACAGGGCTGTCGTGAGTTCTCCGTGCTCACGCAGCTATTGCCACCATAGCAGTCATTTGCCAAAGCATTAGACGTTATTGCAGTTAAACATTAAACTTAACACTGTGCCGCGTTTTATGAGAAGGGTACAGAGTCAGTCTTTACGTTGGGTAGCCTATTATTTCACACGTGATTGAATATGGACCCGGTATATTATGATTTTGTAAGAATAAATATAATATTATTTGTTTGTCCAGAAAAGCATCACTGAGTGTCAAGACTGTTTTTATGCGGATCCTATATTGAGATGTTGAGCCAATTATTTGTTTTTGTGTTATTTGTTATGTGGAGGTGGCCAGGTGGTTCAGATGTCAGAGCGTTGAGCTGGCACCACGGTGGCGAGGTGTTAACGACCTCGCCTGGTATAGAGGAAGTCGTGGGTTTGATTCTGACCCTGACACCTGCTGTATACTTGGAGTTTGCATGTTCTCCTCGTGGTCGCGTGGATTTTTCTCTGGGTCCTCCGGTTTTTCCTTCCACCTTTAGAAACATTTGTTTAGAGTATTTGGCTGTTATTCATTTCCACGTGGTAAACCACTTGTTTGAGCTACATTTGTGGCCAGGTCGCTTCTGAAAAAGAGCTATATATATAAAAACTGAGATCCTGAATTAGAATCTATGCAGTTGCAATCATGTTATGCGATAAAGCCAGGTTCTCAAGTGTATTGAATTAATGTTGCCAACCCAGTTGCCAATGACTAAACAACACAAGCATGGAATATCATTCGGTTCTGCACTTAATATGCATACTTTTTTTCTGTCTTAGATCAGGTGAGGTCACTTGAAATAATCGCAGATGTGGCCCTGTGATATTCACTTTTATGGGAAATTTCAAATATGAATGGTTTTACTGCTCTGTAAAATATCAGAATGAATACTTAAACTCATGACATGACACCCAAAGCACAATGGGGATAGAGCTTTTGGAAGAAAAAAGACAATGTTTTAGTTCAGCTGTCATAATATTAAAACAGTATTTTTGGGAGGGGACGAGAAATTGAACTACCTACCCATTGAAAACCCCATTTATGCAAGGGGGCAACACTTAAAGGTTAAACGGCTAAAATTAATTTCCAGGGCACCTGACCCAGCCTTGGGTTGATGTGTGAAACCCACTGTTCTCATAGCTGCTTAAAAAAAAATTGTCTCATGACCTTTGCATCTGGGCCTAAACTGAACTTCCCTTGCATTAAGTAAATTGGAAAAACTGTGTGGCCTGCTCGGTGAGCTGGAATCTCATTACTGGGGGCTTTTAATTTCTGATTTTTAAAATTTTATTATTTAGGACTCCTTTGAAGCCCGTACGTGGGACATAGTCTCATAAAGCCCGTAATGGACACAGTCGGCGGTTATTTATTAGCCATTAAGTAGCTAATGTAAGCCCAGCATGCAGCTGTGAGTTTTCGTGTAGCTCACTGAAGGCATGAAACGTTGAGTCTTGTCGACTTGTCATTGTCTCAAAAGAAAAAGAAGACTAATTTTGCATATGTCTGCTGTCTGCTTTTAAAAATAATAATCATTTGCACTTTTAAGTGCCTTTCACCCGGAGATCACAAGGTGCTGTGAACAGCTTATTTAGACATGTTGTGAATGTGGTAGGAACCTAGGGCCCAATTCCCATCTTAACAAAGCAGCTGAAACATAATTTGTTTGTGATTTGCTGCATTGTTGGTGATGGGGACATTGGCAGGTTTATGGGAAAATCTGATAAGCGTAAACACACTCGTCAATATTATAATCTGATGCAACTTACTTTTTTATTTTAACATTGCCATATGCTCCTCTGAAGAAGGGCATTACCTGAAACATTACATTATCATACTTATATATAGTTATTAGCTAGTTTATATATATAATTGTGCTATAACACTTCAGTTTTTCATTGATATAGTATGAGCTTAGATTTGTTTGTTTATTTTGTGGAATGTAATATATGAACATAGATTCATTAATTAGGTGGAAGATGAATTAAAAAAACCTCATGCTACGAGCAATTAGGCACTTAATAATGCAGTACTATAAAGTAAGTAGTGAAGTTTTGGACTGATTCTTTAAAAGTGGGAGAAGTTCATGAAGATTTATGGGTGTGAGATGGAGAGATATGACAGCCAGGACACGTGCAGCTCACTTGATCATGTGTTTTTTTCACTCCTATTTAAAGAGCTATCAGAATCACTTTCCGATGTGTTGTTGGGTTGTACAGCATGTTGTTCATTTCCTTTAGAAGCTCCTAATACCTTTGAGATCACCTTTGAGATCCTTTTTGAAAAGCGTTATATGAATGTAATTATTTTTATGCTGAGCAATGCCACTGTACAAAAACACAGAGAGCTGTAAATCGCATCTGCAGAAATATACACATACGCTATTAGAAGTGTTATGGTGCTAGGGTCATTTGGAAAAATTAATGCTTTGATATATATGCATGGTTTTCAGCTATTAGAAGTGTTATGATGCTCGAGTCATTTGGAAAAAAACATGCTTTGATATATGTTTGCATGGATTTCAGCTATTAGAAGCGTTATGATGCTTGGGTCATTTGGTAAAATTCATGCTTTGATATATGTTTGTGTGGTTTAACACTGCGGGCAGAAATAAAATGGCCAAAACACAGTACACTATGTGATTTCCCCCATTGATAGTGATTTGAGACATTGGGCACGTTCTCACACACAGACACTAAATTCAGACGAACAGGAGCATTCGCCAACACGTGAATCTGCCACACGTCCGATAGTGCTCGATGGGATTTATTTGGTAAAACATCTCTCTTGGAGAAATGTACACCTCTACGTGGCGCACTTGTGAAGTAAGCTATTAATCAGAGGCGAGGGCAGCGGGAGGTAGGGGAGTTCTACCCTGTTATGAATGCAGTGTTAGCAGTAAATACTGCTGAATAAACGTAGGAGCTTGCCAAGTGCCAAGCAAATATAAATGCTGTTGTCCCTCTCGAGTTACTTTTGTTATCACACAAGCAAATTCGACAACGAGCACTGTGGGACGTACACTCCAGCTGACTGGCCAGCTGGGTTACCTGCGTAATGAAGTCTCTGTCAAGCTCTACAGTTTTATATTGACATCCCTTTTCTAATCTGCTGCTGGATGAAGGCCTCTCCACACCATGTCGGTCATGGGGGTTTTTTGATCTTACCTCACCAAGCTGGCTCGTGCAGATTGGTGAAAAAGTGGGGTGGACAGCAGCAGTTCAGAATGACGTCAGCCGTGGCCGGGAATCCTACTCAAGTTCCTGAGTTCCAGTGTGGTACAATTATATGTCTAAATAAAACGTTATGTGTCTCAAGCATCATCATCCTCACATACCCATTGCTTGTTGCTCCTACAGCTCAAAATATAAAGCACATGATGCATTTTGGAGGTCATAATTATAATCCGTCCACAATAATAATAAGTTGCAGCTCTTTGTCAATCAACTTTGAGAGTGTTTGGCTACTATAAATGTCCACGTGATAAGCCACTTCATTGAGCTATCATTTGTGGCCAGGTCGCTTCTGAAAAAGTGCTATACAGTACAGCTCAGTGGGCCTTATCTTGTAAAATAAATTAAAAAAATGTTTAGTTTAACTACTACATGAAGACCTCCCGATGGCAGTGTTGGTCTCATGGGGGTTGTTTGACTATACTTCACCAAGGTTAGCTCAGATATCATGACTGGTTCTCCCTTGACCGGGAATCGTGTTCATGTGACTGGGTCCATAGTACAGTCTGCTATAACCACTGTGCCCCATCTCAAACCCAATATTTGTTCATCTTAACGGTATTATTTGAAACCGTTTAAAGATTTTTTCCTGTATTAATTACATTCAAAATAAATACTGTGCTGGTTATTCAAATCCTTTTTTGTGTAGGGTGGTGTTATCGAATGCCTTGTTGGGATAAAGTGATCCAGGGTTTGTGTTGGTGGCTGACATAAATCTAGTTAATGGTAGCTAACTCTAGTTAAGCTCACTAACATGTCACTGTAAATGCATTGATTCTCATCCACACGTGCTTAGCTTGATATTAGTCAATTTGCGTTTGCAAACAAAAATTCAAAGTAATAATAGTTTAGTAAAGTTGGTATTTGTGTCAATCTTAATGTGCAAGGCTATCACATGGGCGCTATGTTTCACAGATAGAGTCTGCAGTGGGTTCACAGTAGGGGGGCAATGTCACTTTGTGGAATCACAATTGAGTAATTTGCAAGTTATGTTTCAAATTCTGTCAGAACACAATCGCCTGCTATTTTTCAAACGATGTCACGGAATCTTTAACGTTCACTGTGAAGCAGACGGCGTGTACATTATGGTTAATACTCCTGCGGTATTAACCAGGGCAGCCAGCCGGATTTGAATCTTGAACCTTCGCCAACCACCCCATTGTGAAGAAGTGGCTTCCCAATCCTCTTAACAAATGAGCCTCAGAGCCCTCTCACACAATAGCGGTCTAAGGGTAATAATACAGTACGCACTCAAGGTGATTTTTACGAGGCAAAGTTTGAAGCTCGATTAGTGAGAAAAAAATACTTTTAAAGTTTATGTCACTGTTGTGTAACTACCGTACTCGGTCATACATCACTCTAGTTTACCTGTAAGTCACCATAATATATATTTCTCTCGTTACGAACACTCTTGTTGGGCAGGCAGAGACGCATGGCCTAAGTACAGATATGCAAGGTCTATTTTTGTGTAATTTAAAACAATACTTTGAGTAGGATTAAACACCGAGCTTCATCTTCACACCTGTTTTATTGCCATAAAGGGTAAACCCTATTCTTATATTGTGATATACTGGCAAGGGAGGTCCCATGATTCATGGCTTCTCTGTGACCTAAAACCAATTCTAATATTTTCTTCAAATTATGGGAAACTCATCAGACAGGTGCTAGTGTGACCATAGGCTCGATCCTTCCTTCATGATTTGCTTGTAACGTGACATTACCATGCTGCATGTATAATGCACACAGCCTTGTTTGAGACCACCAACTCAAAATATTCTTTATTGTGGGCACATTATTTTAGACAGCAGTTGGACAATGAGACAACTGAAACCGGTTAATTATTGTGATCAGTACAGCATAGCCTGCATTGCCTCCTACTACTGCCTCGTGCCTCAACAACCTCTCCACTTTACCATCTCTGCTGCGTGGTTGTGGGTACTGTATACCTCTCAGTGTATTATCATGGAAGTGGCTTAATGTAATTTTATATGTATAGAAACTCATCACATTAAATCACTCCTAATGTTAAGATTCATCCTTAAAGGTGGAATCCTAACATAGGCCTAACATCAAGTTATTAAATTAGATAGCTAGATGGCTTTCATATAAGCCAGGTAAGAACTGGTTGAGACCGAATGGCTCTTTTGCAATGGAAAATGCTTAGTAAAACAAGTGAGTTTCAACAATCATCATCAGCCATGATCAATCTACTGCTATCATCTCACAGCCCCACGATTCAGAAATACATCCAGCATCTGCACGCGAGCTGATTTTCAAAAAGCAGTTCTAAAGAAATGAGTTTTCAATCTAGATTTAAAAGTGCATAGCCCCAGTGGCTTCCCAATATCGGAAGTAGAGCGTTCCAGACGCCCATAGAAGCGCATCTGAAAGCGCGCGATGCAGTGGAGATGAGATAACGCAAACGATGGTACCGCGTGTCGGGGCGTGTGTGCAGGTGGCACAGGCGGTGCTCATCGCTCTCTTTGAGCTCAACACGGCCGAGTTCACCATGCTGCTCGGAGCGCTGCCCCGGACCTTCCAGGAGGGAGCAACGCGCCTCCTACACTCGCACCTGCACGCGCTGGGCGCGGTACAGCCTGCATGCCGCGACTTGCGGCCCTCGCTGTGCTCACCCTTGCACACTCTGTACATTTGTGCTCTGTTCAACAATAGTATTAATACAAATGACAAATTGTAGCGTGCACAATTTCGCAAACGGACTAAAGTCGGATCACGACTCGGAAGTGTTGCCAAACGTCTCACTTTGGTTGGGACAGTTCCGGTTCCAGAAAGACCATCCTGGCATCTTGAAACTTTGAGATTTTGTCTAAGTTTAAATCTTCTGGCCTCATGCTGAATTCATTATATGGGCAAAGGGCAGGGTTAGCTGGGAAGTTGGAGGGGTTGACAGACGAGTAGACCGGGTCTATGAACAGTAGCCGAGACCAACGTCAGAAAGACTGAAGCCATTCACTTTATGGGTGGTGCTAGTGTTGGAGTGGGTGTGGTTATGCAAGCTCACCACGTTCTCTGGTTGAGCCTCTCATATATATTATTGGTTCTTTCGGTAAAGTCACGTAGAAGGGAAACAATAAAATAATGTTGTAGATTAGCCCTCTGTGCTGTGCTGGTTCTGCCTGATTAACCTCCCCATGAGGCATATCCAGCAAACAGATATACACTGTCACAGTGCACTGTCGTGTTAAGCTCCTAAAGGAAGGTGCAAAGTAAAAAAAAAATAAACTGTTCTTATTTTGAACATATACCCACTCAGGCTGTGTGCATCTGCGGTCCAGGTGGATCGTTGCATCATGAGACCCTAAAACACGGCGATGGTTTGGCGAGGCTTTATCCAACAGTGGATTGATCATGGCTGGCGATGAGGTATGATGACGGCCCAGGTGTCGTAACGTTGCTCGTCATTGTGTCGCAGAGTGGAGCTGGCGGCGTGCTCACCGTGGTGAACCTTAACCCCGCGCTGGCATTGGCTAGCCCGACCTCATCACCCACCGTGTCCTCGCATGGCACCTTCTCGCCCAGGTGAGCCACCCCCACCGGCACCAGCCCCCCCCCTTCCTCACCCTCAGCGTGCCAGGGGCTCTTTGATGCTCAACGGTGCAACGTTGAACATTATAATCTGAATTAATGAGAATTGATTTTCAACATCGTACTCTTGGTAGAAAAAACATTTGCTCCCTTCAAAATGTTTAGTTCTGCGTGCCACTGCTGACTCCCACCTGCCAGTACATTTCCATCCAATGTCCCTTCCAACTGCACAGGAGTCCTCTTTGCTGTTTTTTCATTTTAAGTTTTAATTTCATTTCCATCTGGTACGACAGAGTGGAACGAAGTGTTATATTATATTTGAATTTGGCACAAAGATGGGTAGTTAATTACACATTGCAGAATTTGGCATGGGGGAGTCTTAAATGGTGCAGAGATATTTGTGTATGTGTGTGCACCCCTTTTGTCAATCCACTGCTGGATGAGGGGTTTCTCCATGCCATGTGGGTCGTTGAGGTTATTTGACCATATTTCTCCACGGGGACCAGTGTGAGTGAGGGGCATAGAGATGAGCGCCCACTGGCATTTACTTCAGGGGCATTTACAGCAGTAGAGCAGAATTACACTCAAGTCGAAAAATAATCAGCGTTGTGGAGTAAAACAGTGCCATCACTATTTGTTTGTAAGAAGGTGTGTACTGATTACAGATCATCAGACATTAACAACCATTTTTATCCCATGGCAGCATCACGTATGGGAAAGTTAGGAACTTAACACTTTCCAGGCTCAAACCTGCTTAGCTTCTGAGATAATGATCTTCATCATCTATTGAGATCTTATGAGTTTAGGTGCATTCTAGGTGATTATGTCATTGGCAGAGATATTTACCTGACTAATTGTTAAGTCCGGTGTCATTGATGTTGAATCATTCATTCATATTAAGTGTTTTGTCAGTGCAAGTAAGTGAGCAAGGTCATGCTTTTGCGCTAACATTATGGGGTGCCGTGGTGGCGATGTTTTCTTCCTCGCCTGGTATACAGGAGGTCGTGTGTTCGACCCTGACACCTGTATATTTGGACTTTTCCCCGTGGTCGGGTTGCATTTTCTCGGAGTCCTCCGTTTTTTTCCCTCCACATTCAGAAACATGCGTTTAGAGTATTTGGCTGCTATACATTTCCACATGATAAGCAACTTTGTTGAGCTATCATTTGAAGGCCAGGTCGCTTCTGGAAAAGAGCTGATAGCTCAGTGGGCCTTACTTGGTAAAATAAAAAATTGTAAAAATAAAATTCCACATCCGGGGTGCAAACCGAACAGAAAATGGAACACAACGTACACATAAACAACATCATTATCATCAGCCATGTCCATCTCCTGCTGGATGAAGGGCTTTCCAAGCCATCGGCATCCCTCCCATCACCAGCCCGCACTGACCCGTGTGGTAAAGTATGGTAAAATAACCCCCCCCACCCTCCAGACTGGTACAACTAATCCATAAACAGGGTGCCTCTTGTAAATCGGTACATGGATTCGTAAGATGGATAAGACCACAGGATACTGTTATCCCACAATCGGCCCATTCACTTGCTCAGAAAACTGTCATACCTGTTTCACTTTTATCATCTCAATCTGTCATGAGTCACAAGTGATAATCGTAATGATAGTAGCAGCAGTGTTGTCAAAACTCAGCGTTTGTAAACAATGTCGAGGTTAATGAAGATCACGCCCGTGATTGCTTAAAAAATAAACGCTCGTTCAGCAGAATGAGATCTTTGCAGAGGGGGGGGGGAGCATACTGCGGAACGGTGGTCCCAAATGATTAGAGCGGAAGACATCTTCAGGCTCAGAGATAATTATCACGCAGGTATTGGGCCTGCTAAGCACAAAATAATGCATATGGAGATTATTGCATCTTCCAACGGTGCCCACTTCAGTCATTCGTTCGAGATATCTCAGACGTTCACAACATCGCGCCTGCAGCCCCAAAATGGTTCACTAACGTTGACGTCAACATAGAACGTTGCCAATCACTGTGCTGTATGAAAGAAGAAGCAATTACAGCGAACTGCCCGCTATCCGTGGCCCTGTTAGCTTCAATCGCTATTACCTGAGACCACGATTGATCTGGGATGAATTCCATTATCTGTTTATGCATCTCTTCCTATAAATTGAAAACTCATGTTCGAGATTCAATACTCATTTCTTCAGAACTGTTTTTTTTGTGTTTAGTTTTGTTGTCCTTCCCCCTGCACATCGGTTATCACGGTTTGCTACGGTATGAAAGAAGTTCACCATACATACATTATCCACGTCTTGTCACAGACCAGAGGGATGACATACAAATGGGGGCAAATTCATCCCGTCCTTCCTCATTTATCCATGTACAAGTCACCCAGAAGTTGTGTCCCAGGAGTGCTAAATTCATCCCGTTATCCACGTATTTTCATGAATCACTCTGCAGATATCAGGTGTTATTTTATTGGAGATGTGCAGTTAATTGCATCCATCAGTAGCGTGTGGACACAGAGAAGGGAAGTTTCGATGTGTGTGGATATGATTTTATTTATGAGGTCATGAGTAAGATGCAACATGTGCGTTTTACTCTAAAAAATGATAATAGGAGTGGAACGACACATTTATTTTTTATGCTGATGTGTTTACATTTTACCGTGCGAGCTTTGTGTATGTTTACAAGCATCAGTGTCATGGTGGTAAAAACACACACAATAATTTGCTGCATTGTTTTTACTGCAGTCTATTTTTGCCTGCATACGTGACATGGATCCTTTGACCCAGTCACCCAGAATGAGCCCTATCTTGTAAGATCTCGTAAGCAAAGCAACATTGGGCCAGGAGAGTCGTGCTTGTATGGGTGACTGAAGTGCATAACAGCTAAGTGGTGGTTTTTTTCGATTTAAAGCTTTCGTGACTGCAAGGATTCATCTTCTTTCGTTCTTTCAGTAAAGTCACGTAGAATGAGAATAAAATAATACATTGATAAAATAAACTAACACAATAAAATTTTCACGACATTTCGGCCACAACACAAGCGGCCTTCATCAGACAGTCTCGTCCCTTCACCTGATGAAGGCCGCTTGTGTTGTGGCCGAAACGTCATGAGAATTTTATTGTGTTATTTTATTTTATCAATTTATTATTTTATTCTCATTCTACGTGACTTTACTGAAAGAACCAAAGAAGCTAAGTGGTGGGTAGTAAATAAAAAAAATCCATTGCTCTAGTTTATTTCTATGTTCCCCATGACTATGTTACTTGCCTTCACCAACCCTCACTGACCAAAGTGGTGAATTATGGCCATATAATCACCTCGACCCCCACGGCGTGTGGAGACCCTCATCCAGCAGTGGATTAGAAAAGAGCTGTAAATATCCATGTATACATAACGCAAGTGGAAATTGGCATCTCTATTTATCAAAGCTGTCCGTGGGTGGATTTTTGGGCCAAAATGAGCCATATAACCTGTATGGTGCATGAAATATAAATAAAATGCAAGAAAAAACAATGAGGCATGCTGATTGCTGGCGCTTACTCCCTCTTCTGTACCTCTGGAGCTGCCATCGCATTCACTTGCAATTGCCGTGGCAAGGATTGGCCTACTAAGTCATTCTAGGCACTGCAAAACCTACAGCTGACCTCGTAAGGTGCAAAAGAATTCTCTCTCAAGACACAAAGGCCTATTGGGACTCATGTGCAGTGAAATCTTAACCCTAGCAGGTTCTTCCTGAAACCAAACCTTTAGACACGGTAAGGCTGTCCCGGCTAAATAATTGGCATTGTTGCCTGTCTTGAAATTGCCTTAATCAGGGATTAATCTTCAACTTAGCCTGCCAATCGTCGGTCCATATTTTCTCATCCAGTTCACTACATCCAGTATACCTTTAACTTTGACTGTGGCTACTGGTCACTCGCCACTTCCCTTAGTCTACTGTCGACCGAGCAAATATTTGGTGAGAAATTATACCTCTGCACCGTAATGCTGTCTGCGTGCACGTGCGCTTGTCTGCACGCGTGCGGCAGATTGATGCCGGATCTGGAGGCGGAGTCGGCGCCACGGGAAGATGACGAGTCGGCGCTGCGCAGCGTTGCCGAAGCTGCCTGTCAGCTCAGCTACCACGTCCTTGAGCCAGCGAGCCGGCTGCCGTGCAAGGAGAGCGACGCTGTGAGAACCGCACTGCAGCCGCACTGCAAGCGCGTCGATGTCCACCCCAACCATAAGCGCCACTCGCCACACGAGCACCCCAACCAGAGATTCATTTCAGTTGGGTCTGTCTGGTGGGAGACCCAGAAAATATTTCCACACTCGGCACACCACATCTAGGATACCTCTTGTTATGACTGTGGCTACTCCTCCAGTCTACCAGAGACCCGACGTATTCAATGACACATTTATCCTGAATTACAATGCACACCTACCCATCAGCACCACCTTTCATTCCTGAATAGGCAAACTTCTTATAATTTGACTGTCACACTGGCATATAATGTACTGCTCTTGTGTGCATTGTCATGGGATGGTTTGCGTCTGCTTTCATTGGTGGATGATGAACTTAAACCATAATGTTCCTGAAGCAATTTGTTTTGGATTATAACTGTGAATTCTGCACTCAAAGGCAAACACTCTGCCTTCAAGGAAACCCAATTTCTATTTATTGAGATGCTGGTATGTTTATCGATTAATTGCCATTTTGTTGTGCATTTGAAAATCAATGGGTTAGCCATCATAACAAGCCAAATAATTAGCGGTTTCCTGATAAAATATGCCTGAGTCATCGTGGTGGATATTCCTCGTTCCTATGGCAGCAGTAAGTCTGTCCATAGAACACCACTTGTTAACTTCCCACAAAGTTGTGATCCTAATTTAAAAAATCTGGAAAAGATGAACGGCTTTGGCCCCTGAATGACAACTGAACCTCACACCTCACCGTGAGTCACACAGTCTCATCACTCCACCACCTGCCTGAATGAATATAGAACAGTATGGATTTCTGAATTAATTCGGAGTGAATAACTGTAAACCAGAACGATCTAGTGGTTGCAGTGTTCCTTGGAAAATCTCTACTTAAGTCACTACCCATGGAGTCAGCTCATGGGATGATACATCCTGCCTCGCTCCGTGACTCGACGAGGGATTTAGCAGAATCCACCATAATCCAGGGCAAACATGGTTTGACCTGGCAAGCTTTTAGTTTGTGTGCATCGCGAGATTAATTGCGGCGATACATGGACACTGTTGCCAGCGAGCACAGTGGAAGAATGTCGTTTGGCGCTTATCTCCCGCACGATGCATTTCACGACCGCGCGTGTACCGTGCGGTTTTTTGGCACGCTGACGAGGAGTGATGAATCGTGCGCGAGGGCGTGCCCCGATTGCCAGGACAGCACGTGCCACGCGCCTCGCGTCCCACCTCCCAGTGACATCGCGGCTTTAAGGGATCACGCTTGAAAACCTGAGGGCTCGCATCGCGAGGTTTTAACAGTCTCCCTGAGCCTCCTCCCCTTGTGTAGAGCTCCATGCATTGGAAAATTACACCGCTTCGTGCCAAATATGCGGTTGCATTCCCATTGACGCACGCACGCACGGTAATGCTAGGGGAGGTGCCACCACATTTGATGCCAGTTCGCTGCATTTGTGGCCCCGCTGCGTGGGGCAGTGTAAATAATTGATGCCGAAGTGCAGGTTAAGCATTTACGACTCGCTCGAGCCGTGTGTCTGTGCGTGCAATTGAATTTAGTAATGTTCGTCCCATTGCAATTAAGGAACTTTTTGGTCTTGCATTAGAGGGTTTACTTTAGAACGTTTAATTATATACACTGTATTACCTCGTAGTCATCCTCCCACCCCACGCTTGACACTTTTGGAAAAATTCCAAGGGACCTTTCTGTTGTGTTATTGGGTTGGACCACATGGGGGTTCCACACGATGTCTGATGTTTTGGTCCACACTTTTCTTCAGGTGCTGAATGGAACAGCTCATGGTTCTCCTTCGAATATTTTGTGTTGCCGGCTGTTTGCTGGTGTCTGGTGTAGGTGCCAAACAACATGCGGTACATATTAGAGAGCTGCACAGCATGACTCTGTAAACCTACAGGAAATGCTGGCTTTAGTGCTGCTGCTGCTGCTGCGTGTCTCACGACGCTGCGAGCGCAGGCATCTCGTGACAACGGCCTCGCCGCCTCCCTCACGGACGTGCGGGGGCCCTGCTCAGCCGATCGTGCCGACAGTCCGTCCCTCGTAGCGGCCCAGCCGAGAGTGGCACCTGTGGTGGCGGCTGCGGCAACTACGAGAGGGACGGCGACGAGCGGAACCGCCACCGCACCGCCCACGCAGGACGACGCCACCGCCAACGCCGTCAACACCACCGCCAGCGCCGCTTCCAGCGCTACCAGCATCGCCACAGCTACGGGCACCGTGAACGGCGCGTCGCCGCGCGATCACGCGCGCACGACGTGCGCCACCGAGCCCGGTACCCGCCCGCTCGCCGACACTTAGCCACGCGATAACCATCGTCAACGGCTAATCTCCGTGTTTTGTAATTGTGAGCGTGGCAGCACTTCCTTTTAACAAACTCCTGATTGAATGAGTCGGCCGAGAAGAGAGATCGCTGATTTCAATCAGGTCCGGCTTGTTAAAAAAAAAAAATGCCGTGCGTTCATTGTTAAAAGTCGTCCGTGGTTACCGTTCCGTAAAAAAAACAGTGGCAATAAAGTGCACTTGTAATTTAAAGAGGTTAACTATCGAATGTCATGTCGCCATTTAAAACAAATATAGACGTAATAAATTCAGTACAAACTATGAGCAATACTGTGGCTGGCATGTGACATGCAAGTGAGTACATTTCCATCAAGGCTTTTTTTTTCTTCTCCTCTTGCGCAATCCCTCTGCCTGGCTCCATTGCCTCCGCTCTGCGAGGCAGTGCCACGTGCCTCTATTCCTGCCCTCATAAACACAAGCCCATTGTTTGTTGTGAAAATAAGTACCACCCACCCACCATCACCCAGCTGCCTTGTGGGGCCCCTCCTGCATAGGGGCTTAGCCTGGTGCTGGTGGGGTTTGGGGGTGAGCGGTGATGGGGGAGGGGGGTGCTGGCCATACAGCTTGCCAAACACACGTGTCAATTGGCGAGATAAAGTGGAACGCTTTTTTTTTTCACGCGCTCCAGTGAGCGAGCTTACGTGCTCACTCATGGGTGCGGAGCAATATGTTTTTCAATGCCACTGACCCATTCAGGACAAAAGGGCCAGACCTGACTAAAATATTTTCTACAGTGTTTATACTAAATATTTGTTGATGTTCAAAAGTTCAGCGCCGCTCAAAAGAACTTTGGCTTTCATGGGTTGGTAAAAAAATAACAGCATGTTATAGTGCCAATTTTAAGTTTTCCAGTGGTATTTTGAGATGAAACAAGGAAGTACCCTCACCCTGAATGCCCTTGTTCACTTTCACCAGTTTTAACTTTTTCGCTTTTAGACAAGATACACAGATAATTTCTGACACAGTGTGTACAGTTATATGGTTGAAACATTGAATTGGAAGCAATTTGTGTTTTTTTTTGCGAATGGGGGCATTTGTGTTTGAAACAGATCAAAGGCTTAAAGTCATTGTTGTCTCCTGCTTTGACCCCTTAACACGTGGTGGCCTGTGGGCTTGTTCTGTTAATGAGCAGGCTACATTTCATTGGGTTTTTTTTAAGGCCCTGTGAATTTGCCTCGTTTCCATATGTGGAGCTCTCATTTATCCTTGTGGAAATATTATATATTTGTGGTCTTGCCTCAAGTAAATTAGAGAATTGCTTGACACGTGGATTTAGTGATTGCTAGTAATGGTGTGAAAACTTTTATTTGTTTTTTTTATGCATTGCTCAATAATTGTCAAATTTTCAATAATTTTATCCCTAATATGCTGTTGGTGTCATGCCAGTAGACAAAGTATTTATTTAGATCTGCAGAGCAGTGCACAGAAGCAGTTATCCTAGAACTACCTCAGAGACGCCTTCATGTGACCTCGGCCACATGTCATCTGAAGGTCACCTTGCTCTGCCACTGAAAGTAATGTTTGTCGCATTACAGTCAAACTCACATTTTTTTATTCTCAGAGGTGGAATTTAGCCAGACGCAGCGCAGAACGATTTTTTACGTGAACGGATTTTTGTGCGTGCGGTCATTGGTGACCAGGATGAGACCTCACCATACTTGAGAACCCGGTATAATCATAAGCGGCTACCTGGATTTGAACCCTGGATTTCAGTGGAGGCATCTCGGCGCTCCGACCTCTAAGCCGCCTTTGTATTACTCATTCTTAACAACCCACTCTTTATTTAAAAATGAAGAAAAAAACCCCCAAAACAACGATCGGGTTAAATGGGGGTGGGGGGGGGGTGTACGCTCGGCCGTAGACACGGACGGCGTTGGGAGGGCATGAGCGATGAGCGAACAACCGCGCGGTCGTCGCGATGGCAGGGGACGTGGCAGACGGGAGCGCTGCGCTGCCCGACATCCTTCGGGAGTTGTCGAGTGGGGCGGAAGGTGGCGAGCGGCAAGGCGAGCGGATGCGCGCCGCACTGCAGGACCTGTGGAGGCTGGCACACGATGGCTGGCTCACTGACAGCGGGTCCACGCCACTGCTGCTGACGCTCACCGATGCCGTCGCGGATCCTGATGTGAGTGTCTCGGAGGCACGGGGTGTGGGGGGGGGAGAATGTGGTGTGTGTATGGGCAGGGGGGCGGGGGGACACAAGGGGTATGGAGCATAGGGATGGCACAGGGACACGGGAATTCAGGATGCAATGATGTAGGGCATGGTGATGTGGGAGATGGAGACATGGGGCATGTGGATATGGAGCATGGCAATAACGGGCATGGGGGAACGGGGTAGTCAAGGTACAGGAACTCCAGTCTTAGGATTTGTTGTGTGCGCCAGAGACTATGGAGAAAGTTCCAATTTGCTCCCAAGCTTGTACGTTTGAGATGGATTTGCTTCATACCAGGAATCTGAAAAAAGTATAAAGGTGCTGTGCTGTTATTTCCGGAAGAAGGGCCTCCACCAAAGGGAGCTCTCCAGTTACCCTCGAGAGGGAATTTTTGGCCTACTCTTTTATGCTGGCCAGACGTCTTGGAAGACGTAAGGCGTGGGACTACCCACGCTTTACCCCACCATACATGACCTACCAATTGACTGTGGTGTATCCATTTAAACTGCTGGCTGGGCAGAGGTGCCAGGGGGGACGGGGGTGGGTGAAGTTGATAAATGTGCTCATCGTCATGACTGCTGCACCAGGAGATTGAACCGGCTGCCTTTTAACCGTTACACGAAGGCAGCATTTCTACCACATTAACATATTTTATTCTCCGAGTGAGAGTGAGAGATCCTGTGATGGGGGCATCCTGTGATGTACACGTGTGTTCTCGCCTGTCGCTCTGTGCGAGCAGCACACAGTGCGCATGCTCGCGCTGCACGTGCTGCGGGAGATGGCGCTGAACCGGCCCGAGTCCTTCGCAAGCCATGTGGAGGTCGCCGTGATCCGGACTCTGGAGGCCCACCGTGACCCCCACAAGGAGGTGAGCTCGGTCACCTCGGCCGGAAAAAATAACACGAACAAATATACAGCATTGGCAAGTACGGAACACTCACGGCAGGTCGGCCCAGTGATGTAGCCAGGTTGGCGTGGGCCTTGGTGGTGGAAGGAATGCAATGGGGGGGCCCCCTGTACAATGTTTACCTCCCATCTTCGTAGCCTGGCACCTAGGCGACATTCTATCCGTGAGTCACTGATAGACATGGGCAACGCACGGACTAAAATAGGGATCGAGACCTGTGAACTTGCAAAGAAACCAATAGGTTTCCATGCATATGGATTGCATGTGTAATATTCAATGTTTTTTTTTATCTGTGCATGGCGGAGGGGCGAGGGAAGTGGGGTGAATTGTTACTCCTATAGCAAATACGCTCGTAAACTGCAGCTTCACTCTATCTGCATCCACCGTGCAAGTTTTATTCTGAAGCTAGTTACTTAGCAGTGGTATGATACTCAGGGTCACCTCTTCAATGTCTCGTCCCAGTGCGGTCTATCATTATCCCTCGAGAGAATGAGCAGTGTTCATGACAATATGTGGTGGTAGGGTGAGTGATGTGGGTTTATAATGGAATGAGGTTCATCGGTTCACACCTAAGTTCAATTCCTGGCTGTGACGAATATAAGTGGCTGGACTCCTCCTTCACTGAACCACACTGACCAGTGTGGTGAAGTACGGTTCAACAATGCCCATGCGTAACATAGCCATGTAGAACTTCATACACGAATGACCAAAAGAATCACATCTCCACAATTCCACGTGCATTTGGTCAGCAAAACCAGCATGGCGTGGAGATAGAAGTTAAACCAAACTTTAGTGGAGATGAAAAGATATTGTTTATGTGGACCTATGCGAGCACAGCTTGTCCTTGTTTGCCTTAGGGAGAGAGAGAGAGCGGGTAGAGAATGTGTTTGTAAAATAACGGCAAACGTCGATAAGAACTCCGTGATGTCCTCAAGTGGCTCCTGGGGTGTAATGAGACGATAACGACGGCATTCAAATCGTTATCATGAGAACGCCCCAATCTTAGTCTCCAGCGATAAACCAGCACAATGTGTTCATGTGGAACCAATTTTCACAGCAAATTAAGGTGCATTAAATGCAAGATACGAATTATTGTTATAAGCTAGTCATCGGCGATGTTGTATATGTCGCTCCTTTCGTGGATCAGTGGCACAGTGGTTCGTGTATCGCACTCTCAACCCGGCCACCTGCATTTGAATCCCAGCCATGGTCAACATCAGTGGCGAGTGCAACTTTAACCAGTCCTCAACCCCCCCTTCATCAATTCTTGCCTATATCCTCTGGATCATTACGGTAAATAAGAAAGTGAAATGGATTTGGACCTTGTCCTCAGAATCTGAATATTTATTTATACTGGAGGAATCCCATGAGCTATTGAGCTCTTTTTCATATATGTCTAGTAGGGGTGGTTCAGAACGTTACAACCTCAGCCTGTGGTCGAGGCTAGTGATGGATTTCAGCCAAAGGAGGGAACATGCTTTAAAGGATGTCTGCTGCGGAGATGGAGGGATTAATCAGCTCATGTGCAGATGCCACGTGAAATGTTGCATCGTGAGACCGTGAGAGATGGCGGTGGCTTGCGGAGGCTAAAATGCAGCAGTGGCTAGAGCAGAGTTGATAATGGTCATTATTTTTATTTGATAAAATTTGAAGTTTATTCTTCAAGAGCTCCTCTACTTCACACAAAAGCAGTGCGTTTATAAACAAGCAAAATTGAACAAAAGTAAACTCGCAAAGAAGTGCAGCTGTTCACCAAGACTCATTCGTACTCAATATTTCATTCTTGTTTACTTTACTAAGCAGTTTGTGCACTGTGCAAATGCTCCTTTTGTCATGTAAGAAATGTGATAGGTTCAAATTGCTACTTGAACAGACAGTCTTATGTTTACATGTGATGGTATCTCGCGTTGTTGACATTCAGAGGAATTGAAAGATAGTCCACATTGTAATCACAAAATACTTTCACCCTTATTCTACACACATAAGTCGTCTGAAAGCGATCCCCTTGGTATGATATCCGCAAAAGCCAAATAAAAGCTTCCTGCGCAAGGGGACTTTCTGAAGCTGCACAAGCATCCAAAGTTTGCATTAATTTGCACTCCGCTAATCAGCGGCTATTCACCATGATGATGATCATCATCTTCAGCCACGGTTATTCCACTACTGGATGAGGGCCTCACGAAGCCGCCACCATCTCCCGCGTTTCCACGATATAATAATCCACCTCGCACCTGCACCCGAGCCGATTTCATTGCTCCGTCACTATTATTGACCATCGGCCATCATTCCTTCTAGCGACGCGTCCTGCTCAAGCCTGAGTTAAGTATTTTATCTACATATATTTTTGAGTTCAAGCATTCCTCTTTTCGTCTCAATATGATTCCAAGCATGCTTGGATAGTGGCTCTTAATATATTAATGATTCAAATTGCGATCAAAGAAAAAGCATTCCACTGAAGCTGCAGTCCTTTTCAAGATTCTGCGTTACAGTTTGACTGCGCTTAAGATTCAGCTTGTTTCGCATTACGCGCACACCTGTGCGCACCTGTGTGCACCTCAGAATGAGGAAGTGGAAAGGCATTGCAGTACACATCTCTTCCTCCACCCATCCCATCTTTTTGGAGCATTCCGTGTCAGTAAAAAATGTTATCTAATCCACTTCACCGGTACGGCATGTTCTAAAATCTAGACTTCCGTTAGTGCAGCAACACGCCTGAAGTAAAATGAAAATTTCGTAAATCGGAATGGCTTTTCCCATTTAATACAAAAATTAGGGATGCGTTTTGGACAGTCATTACAACTCTACTACTAGCCTAAAATATACATCTATATAACTTCTCACAATCCAAAAATTAATAATGAATGTAAATATTTAAACGATTCAATTATATTTTGATGTAAAGCTTTCGTGACTGCAGGGATTCATATTCTTGGTTCTTTCGGTAAAGTCACGTAGAAGGGAAACAATAAAATAATTGTGTTGCAGTCGAAACGTCGTGAGAATTTTATTGTTTTGTATTTTCATTATTTTATTGTTTCCCTTCTATGTGACTTTACCGAAAGAACCAAGAATATGAATCCCTGCAGTCACGAAAGCTTTAAATCAAAATTTAACTGCCTCTACGGGGAGGGTTTCCACATAACTTTGAGATCCTTCAACAAACTCCGTGATAAGAAGGCTCAGCTGATCGAGTCTCTCACCTTCCTGAAGAGATGCCGCAACTCTGGGGTAATACCAATCGCATTTACACTGACCTCTGCTGCTGTAACTTCTTCTAATGCGAAACGAATTCTTTCCAGAACTAGCTTAGCTCTTATGTCAGAGAAAATCAGACTTATACGCACCGAACTAGATCAGTTAGACAAGACTTTACCGAAAGAACCAAGAATATGATTAAATGATAATGAATTTAAAACGAAAACTATTAACCTTTTCAGGGAACTCACCAACAGATCTGCTGCATGTTGAAATGATGTGGAGGCATTGCTTTTGCACTGTGGGGACACCGTGGGGACACCGTGACGCAGTCGCGGATGGATCACGCAGCCTCCCGGGTGCTCCATGCTTGATTTCGTTAACGCGCAAATTCGATTTCGTTACTCAAAAAGTGTACATAATGTCAATTGCGTGAACTTGAAATTTAGTAAATTGAACGTTGGTAAATCGAGGGACACCTGTCCAACATGCTTTGGCCAGAACACCTACAACAACAACAACTGCCATTCGCCTCTAAGTAGCGGTGACGTCACCACGACGCTTGTGCCAGGCAATGTGCACCTTGAGGCCACGTGAAGTGTCGAACGCCCGCTGGCAGGAGGTCCCGGGTGAGACCCAGGTGCCATGGGTCGACTGACTGAGATAACTGGCTGATGCACCACCTGTGCCCCCTACTGTGCGAACTTGCTGTGCTTTAGCCACCCGGCACTCCGCTCGTTGTTGTGAGCGTCGCTCCTCCACCCTCCGTTGTTGTTGGAGGGCTACTGCCCAGTAGCGTCCTTCACGAGCCTCCTCCACAGAGGCCGATCTTGACACCGCTGGTACCAGTCATCGGCAAGTCCACTCCGCTCCACATCCTCCTGTATCACATCACTACAGCTCTTCTCTAGCCCGTGCCGCGCCCGTTTAGCTCCCTCGATCCGGCCGAACAAAAGCTGTTTAGGCATGCGGTGGCTGGGCATGTGAGCTACATGACCCAGACAACGCAGCCTTGCCTGCTGGAGGAGCTCACCGATGGGACTTTGTCCAGATCTTTCAAGGATTTGTGAGCTCCTCACACAATCCAGCCTGGTTAAACCCAGTATGGATCGTAGGCAGGCCAGCCTAAATGTTTCTAACTGGTTAAGATGTTCCATTAGGGGGGTCCACGTTTCGCAAGCATAGAGAAGGGAGGGAATGACTGTGGCCGAAAAGACCTGAAGCTTCGTGTGGAGCGACAGAACAGGTAGCTTCCACACAGTGTTACGCAACCGATGAAAAGATAATGCCGCTCGACTGATTCAGAGTGAGACCTCTGCTGTTAAACCGGAGCCGGTCATGAGCACACTGCCCAGGTATGGGAAACTCTCCACTCTCTCCACAACTGCCCTATCACAAATTGGGAGTTGTGGGGGTGGAGTTCCCGATGGTACAAAATACCCAGGCAGGTGCTTAGTTTTGGTGGGGCTGATGGTAAGGCCCCACCTCTTAGTGGCAAGCTCCAGGTTCAGCAGCAGCGCCTCCAACTCCTCCTCTGAGTGAGCAGCAATTACCATATCATCGGCATACATAACATGGTTGAGCAATCGGGAGCCATCCCTTGACCGCACCCGGACATCGATCAGCCTCCCATTTTATTTGTACCAGATGGAAATTCCTCCGGTACAGCTATTGAAGGCTTCACGAACTACGTGGTCGAAATAGATGTTAAATAATGTGGGAGCCAGAGGACATCCTTGTTGCACCCCAAGGTGTACAGGGAATGG